TTAATATATTTTATAGATGGGGTTGTAAGAGAAGTAAATGCGAGGGTCTTGGCAAGAGGCGTGGAGTTAAAAGATAAAGAATCACACACAAAGTGGGAGTTGTCACAGCTGCTCTTTGCTGATGACACTGTGCTCTTGGGAGATTCTGAAGAGAAGTTGCAGAGATTGGTGGATGAATTTGGTAGGGTGTGCAAAAGAAGAAAATTAAAGGTGAATACAGGAAAGAGTAAGGTTATGAGGATAACAAAAAGATTAGGTGATGAAAGATTGAATATCAGATTGGAGGGAGAGAGTATGGAGGAGGTGAACGTATTCAGATATTTGGGAGTGGAACGTGTCAGCGGATGGGTCTATGAAAGATGAGGTGAATCATAGAATTGATGAGGGAAAAAGAGTGAGTGGTGCACTTAGGAGTCTGTGGAGACAAAGAACTTTGTCCTTGGAGGCAAAGAGGGGAATGTATGAGAGTATAGTTTTAAACCCAAAGCTCTTATATGGGTGTGAAGCGTGGGTGATGAATGTTGCAGCGAGGAGAAGGCTGGAGGCAGTGGAGATGTCATGTCTGAGGGCAATGTGTGGTGTGAATATAATGCAGAGAATTCGTAGTTTGGAAGTTAGGAGGAGGTGCGGGATTACCAAAACTGTTGTCCAGAGGGCTGAGGAAGGGTTGTTGAGGTGGTTCGGACATGTAGAGAGAATGGAGCGAAACAGAATGACTTCAAGAGTGTATCAGTCTGTAGTGGAGGAAGGCGGGGGGAGGGGTCGGCCTAGGAAGGGTTGGAGGGAGGGGGTAAAGGAGGTTTTGTGTGCGAGGGCTTGGACTTCCAGCAGGCATGCTTGAGCGTGTTTGATAGGAGTGAATGGAGACAAATGGTTTTTAATACTTGACGTGCTGTTGGAGTGTGAGCAAAGTAACATTTATGAAGGGATTCAGGGAAACCGGCAGGCCGGACTTGAGTCCTGGAGATGGGAAGTACAGTGCCTGCACTCTGAAGGAGGGGTGTTAATGTTGCAGTTTAAAAACTGTAGTGTAAAGCACCCTTCTGGCAAGACAGTGATGGAGTGAATGATGGTGAAAGTTTTTCTTTTTCGGGCCACCCTGCCTTGGTGGGAATCGGCCGGTGTGATAATAAAAAAAAAAAAAATAATATTTTTTTTTCTATAAAAATCTGAAGTGTAAAGAAAAACAGTTTTTGCTCAAAGTAAACATCTAGCCTTTTGGTTTGGTAGCTAACAAGAAATAATGTCGCAGAGCTTATGATATTCTGTGATATGACTAACAACAGAGCAACTCCTTAGAGAGAGAGTTCCAAGTATTACAAGTGATGAATATTATAGTGTACTTAATGCACTGAAAGCATTCACATGTTTCTTCTGTTCTCACTACTAATCATCCTTTAATTACTTCAGTTGAAAGCATCATCATTACTATTTATTCATTCTCCTTTACTTAAGTGACTGTATTTTAGGTTCACACACTACTAAAGACTGGAGGTTGGAAGTACAGTTCTTGTACTCTGAATGAATAAGGGATGGAGGATGATGATGATGTGATGTCCTTGCATTTTTGAAGAAGAGCTAAGGAATGGGTCCTGGTGAATAGGTTTTCCTTTTTTGTGTCGTCCTGCCATGGTGGGAAACAGCTGTCATGTTAAAAGCAAATTATTAATACAGCTGGGCTGTGGCTCGTACGTTGGATTGCGTGCAGCCAGCAGTAAGAGCCTGGTTGATCAGGCCCTGATCCACCATGAGGCCTGGTCACAGACCGGGCCACAGGGGTGTTGACCCCCGGAACTCTCTCCAGGTAAACTCCAGCACTATTCAGTACTATTATTATTTTCCATCCCAATTTTATTTTTCCGAAACACGATGGCCGTCTCCCACCGAGACAGGGTGATCCAGAGAAAGAAATTTTTTCATCATCATTCACACATAATCACTGCCTTTGCAGAAACTCTCAGATATGACAATTTAGATGTTACTCCAAACGGCCAATATCCCAGACCCCTCCTGGACTAGAGTCCAGCTAACCAGATTTCCTGAATCCCATCACAAAATATTACCCTGCTCACACTCCAACAATTCATCAGGTCCCAAAAACCATTTGTCTCCATTCACTCCTAACTAACACGCTCACACATGTTTTTTTAATCATATTAATGTTTTTAAGTTCTCTGAATCTGGCTGAATTCTTTTTGTGCATATAATATCTATTAAGACAGTTCCTCTTTTTACAATTTTTTTTATATTTATTGACCCTTTTAGATTTCGCACCTTATTTTATTATATTATTTTATATTTTGAATTTGCAAGAGGCTAGTAACCCCTTCTCCTCTATAAATTACTAAATTTAGAAAGAAAAACTTTCATTTTTCTTCATAGGTCACCCTGCCTCTGTGGGATATGGCTGGTTTATTTAAAAAAAAATGATTTGTTAAAATACATTGAACTTCATAGAAAATAAGATAAAAACAATTGACTAAGCTTTACCACTTCAGGCCCCTTGATGCTGGCAAGTGGCTCTTGATCCAAGGAACTGGATTTATTTTCTATTTCCTTGGCTCCAGGTGTTGTCTGACCCCTAAAGGTTTAATACTTTCCCCTGAAAGAAAAAAAAATTGCCTCTTCAGTGCCTGCATTCCGAAAGAGGGGTGTTAATGTTGCAGTTTTATGACTGAAGTGTAAGCGTGCCTCTGGAAGACAGTGATGAAATGAAAGATGGTGAAAATTTTTCTCTTTTGGCCCATCCTGCCTTGGTGGGAAACTCCCGATGTGTTAATAATAATAATAATACATGTAATAATAATAATAATAATATGTGTGAGTGAGGTGAAAGTGTTGAATGATGATGAAAGTATTTTCTTTTTGGGGATTTTCTTTCTTTTTGGGTCACCCTGCCTCGGTGGGAGACGACCGACTTGTTAAAAAATAATGATAATAATAATAATAAACATCTTCATGGAGAGAGTGAGGCATTTGAATGGAGAAACATCTGAGAAGAAAAGCCTGACATAGCTGCTGACTTACTAACACCCTGAGTCAAGTTGCTAGGCCACTTGTTACACAGTATTTAGGGAAAATTAGAGACTCCTTGTAGATTTTTTTTTTTTCAAAGGAAATGGATATTATAATTCATTTTTCATAAAAGTCATGTACAGTCTTTTTATTCTTTTTATATAAGCAATAATTTTTAAAATTCAGTAGAGTATTGCAGTTAGACTAATATGGCAATAGGTCTAGGAAGGAAGGAAGGTGTTACATGGATTGAAAGACACACTTTGGCAAGGGATCCTTTTTTATTTCTCTGGTATTGTTTGTTTTATTATTTGTCATTTGCTTTAATTCAGTAAATCACTGAACCAGTGAACTGCAGTATGAATGACAACTTATGCTGAAGTCTAATTCATTAGTGGGTTCTGAAGTTAATTTGATGATTCTTACGAAGCTGTTAGAAATAACTGAGCATAGATGTCCTGTGTACATACAAGCAAGGCTGATATTCACTATTGTTTTCTTATCAACTTGGATTTGACATCAGTCTTTTCAATAATATATAAAGGTGCTGTCTTCCAGCAACTGAATTTGTTTACAAAAATGTAATCCTTAGGTTACTGCATTGAATTTTGTCTTGTGACTGTCGCACTTTGGTCTCATCAAAAAGTTTTTATCATGCAGTTAATAGGCATCTTTTATGTAATTTAATGGTTTGTGTTTTTAAGTTGTGTCTTGTTGTCTGGGATGCTGTCTTTACTGCATGTCCTTACCAGCTGTTTATCTGAACAATTGAACTTTTCTTTCTTAATACCTAATCAGCTCTGTTTTATTATTTTGTTTTCTGAAAAAAATATATGATCACTCTTCGTTTACTGTTTCATTCTTCCAATAACTCTGTGAATCTGGTTCATTAGGATATATATTCCTACACTTACCTTCCTGATTTACATATTCAGTTGCTGATTTGGACACCTATTTAATACATTATGCAGTACTTCATTTATATTGTGGTGTTCATCCACCTCAATCAGTCATCATTCTTTATCATCAGTCTCATCTACTTGTACTTCACTTTAATCAGATTCATTTTTCATTTCCATTTTTTTTATCATCAACATACTTCATGTAACATTTAAAGAATTTTCCAGGTTTTATGCTGACATGATGCTGTAATTTGAAAACCACTGATAAACATTTGCTACCAGTTAAGGACACTCTTGAATCACTTGAATCTTTTTGCAAAGAATGTTGTTAAATGAAGTACTTGTAATCAGTGATGATACATTACATTAGATATTCATTGTATGCCAGGACTGAATTATTTTGAATGTAATTTGCTTTAGCCTCTTGTGGTAATACTTTGTATGAATTATGGCAGTGTGTTTCTAGTTGGCATAAGATCAATAAGATGACCAAAAGCTCTGCTGTGTCAGAAATGATCCCATTTATCTCTAAACAAAAGATATCCACTCCCCCAACAATTATATGTAAAATATTTCTTACAAAAATAATTAAGTATTTTACTATTAATAAGTTGTCATCATAAAATTTTAATTAAGGTTACAGAAAGGTTACTTAATTGTCACTTAATAGAAGTGCTGCAGATGCTGCATTGCTTAGGCACAAGTGCTATTGCTGTCATTCAGGCACTGCTTTCAGCAGGTTATTGGTTAGCTGTTTTGCACATACTGTACTTGTTGCCTGCCTTGGTGCCTTATACAGTGAAGACTTAAGCAAGAGTTAAATATAGACATTTGGAGATTATTCTGTCTTTGAGATGGCTTTATGTGGACCATTCATATCTGGGAATCAATCACAATTATATATGTATATAGAAAATTGAGCCCTGCCTTTTTTCTTAGCTAATACTCTGCTGTTTTATGGGAATAAGTGCATAAGTGTTTGAATGTTGCTAATGTGCATGTGCATGTCTCCCCTACCACGTGTTGCTGCTGTGTGCGCCTATGCTGCACGTCCACACGACCATGTTGATCTGCTCTGTGCAGGGCTCCACTTCTTTGGGCCATCAGCATTCTACCTGCATGATGGTGGAAAGGGAACTTGGAGCCCCACAACACACATGACCCATATAGCAATGCCCTCCCCAGGGCATGCAGCAGGAGGGGTACTGGCACCACCCCAACCCACCAGCCCCACCAGCAGTCCCACTCGGCCAGTCCAGGGTTCTCATTCAGCACAGGCCTCTCCCACTAACACACTTAGGGCTGTGCGACCAAGAGCAAGATCAGCCGATGAGTCTGTTTCAGGCAAAAAGGTGTGTATTTCCTAATTTTTTTTTTTTTTTTTTTTAGAATGTTTAGAATGTAACTGAATCTTTTTTTATGTGATAAAATAATATTCACATAGTATGTCTTAATCCTTGTCATTGTTAAAACTTTCCATGTTAAACAGTGAATTAATTTGTTTATTGGTTAAACTAAAAGCTTTAAGTTCAGTACCTGTATACTTATGTAACGTAGGAACTTAGCAAACTCTTTGCTTGTTAAATGAATCACTGCAAATGACTAATGTGCCAGAAATATGGAAGATGGTCAGTATAATACCTCTGGAAAATAGAAGATAGGTTGTTGCTTGATGTCAGTGGTTTGAGAGCTGCAGATTCAATTCAAGGCCACAAGGATGAGCACACAATAGTTGGATTAACTAGCCTTAGTGTGGTTTTTGCGAGGTGTTCTTCTTGCCTAGCAGAATTGCAGATTTTTTACCCCTTGTTTTTGTAGGATTTTAATGAACCAATTGGTGGAGTTCCACACGTGGGAATTTTTTTTTTTCAGCACTAATTTATCCCACTTCAGAAAAATAAGCAGGTTACTTATAAGCTTGATGATGATGAACTTACTAAGACCAAGAGAGGCAAGGAAGTTTTACTTTGCATAGATCTGTTATTCTCAAGTGCTCATTTAATATCTAAGTCATATGAGGCAGCAATGTATTTCTTGGGCATGGAGGGAAAGGATTTCTTGGTGACCAATGATATTAGAATACCTTGTGCAAGATATAGCCTTTTAGTAAGGTAGTAATTGTGTGTTAGGTGTTTTACAGAACATGTCAGTATTTGTGTGTTCACTAAGGACTAGAATCTAGTGAATTTCAGTCCGAGAATTAATGCCTCAGTTTCGTTGCTTGTCATAGTTTTTCTGAACAGTTGTTTGTAATTCTGTTTGCTTTTTACTGTTTTAACATAATAATGTTAAGATTCTATGTTTGTCTAGTTATAAAAAGAGAGAGACATGTATACATTATATGAATCTGCTCAGTAGTGTCACTGGGCATATTGTTTTGTGAGTACATAGTTGATGTAATTGATGTGCGTCTCCATTTTTGGACTGTGCAGGTGTCAACTTGCCATTTCTATTGAATAAAATGGGAAATTAGTTTCCATGTGAAAATTTATGAATGCTTTTTCTGAATGGCTTCAGATTCAGTGCTATTTAACTGCCTTAGAAACTTGTGCTGCAGTCTATATTATTCCCTTTGCGAGCATTAAAGTAAAGGAGGTTGCATTTATGAGTTACAAAAATATTCTTCTCATATCATGAAGTAACCAATGTGTATTAGTATTTAAGCCTGTCATGGGATGTATCATTTATTCAGTTAAAATCAGTTTTAAAAAAACATTGATAAGCAGGAAATGGCAAGTGAAGGTCCTGAAGGAAACTAACCAGATAAAAATTATATACTTAGGGTTTGCAGAACTTTGTGAACATTTAACAACAGTTAGCAAAAATGAGGAAAGTTGCAAAGTAGTATAATTTTTTTTTTTTTTTTTTTTTTTTTTTTTTAATAGGCAGTTATGGATCAATCTGTAATGCCTTTTCATTTTTATGGGTTTTGCCCTTTTGAATACAGGTGTATTAATTTTTTTTTGGTGTGTGTGCACGTTTTTTCAGGTGAGACAGTCATCCAAAGATACAGTAGAAGACTGGGAAATTCCAGTAAATGAAATATTGATTGGTCATCGCATAGGGTCTGGGTCTTTTGGAACAGTTTATCGTGGTCACTGGCATGGCCCTGTTGCCGTGAAAACCTTAAATGTCCGTGACCCTACACCAGCACAGTATTCTGCCTTCAAGAATGAAGTATCAGTCTTAAAAAAAACAAGGTAAGATGGATATTATCTGTTGATAAATAGTGTATTAGAAAACTTTCAAACAAAATGCTGCTTTCACAGTGTGATTTCCTTTCCCACTGTTTAGTTGCCATATTCTTTTACATTGATGTAAAATACCAACAAGTTAAAGAATAAGAGACATCTTTATTGTCATATCACTTCACCTGCACAGCCATTGAAATGTCTCGTCAGAAACGATACCCAGATGTTGCAAGCGTCTTATTTGTCAATTTTTTTTTTTTTTTTTTTTTCAACAAGTCGGCCGTCTCCCACCGAGGCAGGGTGACCCAAAAAAAGAAAGAAAATCCCCAAAAAGAAAATACTTTAATCATCATTCAACACTTTCACCACACTCGCACATTATCACTGTTTTTGCAGAGGTGCTCAGAATACAACAGTTTAGAAGCACACACATATAAAGATACACAACATATCCCTCCAAACTGCCAATATCCCAAACCTCTCCTTTAAAGTGCAGGCATTGTGCTTCCCATTTCCAAGGCTCAAGTCTGACTATATGAAAATAACTGGTTTCCCTGAATTTTTTTTTTTTTTTTTTTTTATCACACTGGCCGATTCCCACCAAGGCAGGGTGGCCCGAAAAAGAAAAACTTTCACCATCATTCACTCCATCACTGTCTTGCCAGAAGGGTGCTTTACACTACAGTTTTTAAACTGCAACATTAACACCCCTCCTTCAGAGTGCAGGCACTGTACTTCCCATCTCCAGGACTCAAGTCCGGCCTGCCGGTTTCTCTGAACCCCTTCATAAATGTTACTTTGCTCACACTCCAACAGCACGTCAAGTATTAAAAACCATTTGTCTCCATTCACTCCTATCAAACACGCTCACGCATGCCTGCTGGAAGTCCAAGCCCTCGCACACAAAACCTCCTTTACCCCCTCCCTCCAACCTTTCCTAGGCCGACCCCTACCCCGCCTTCCTTCCACTACAGACTGATACACTCTTGAAGTCATTCTCTTTTGCTCCATTCTCTCTACATGTCCGAACCACCTCAACAACCCTTCCTCAGCCCTCTGGACAACAGTTTTGGTAATCCCGCACCACCTCCTAACTTCCAAACTACGAATTCTCTGCATTATATTCACACCACACATTGCCCTCAGACATGACATCTCCACTGCCTCCAGCCTTCTCCTCACTGCAACATTCATCACCCATGCTTCACACCCATATAAGAGCATTGGTAAAACTATACTCTCATACATTCCCCTCTTTGCCTCCAAGGACAAAGTTCTTTGTCTCCACAGACTCCTAAGGGCACCACTCACCCTTTTCCCTCATCAATTCTATGATTCACCTCATCTTTCATAGACCCATCTGCTGACACGTCCACTCCCAAATATCTGAATACATTCACCTCCATACTCTCTCCCTCCAATCTGATATCCAATCTTTCATCACCTAATCTTTTTGTTATCCTCATAACCTTACTCTTTCCTGTATTCACCTTTAATTTTCTTCTTTTGCACACCCTCCCAAATTCATCCACCAATCTCTGCAACTTCTCTTCAGAATCTCCCAAGAGCACAGTGTCATCAGCAAAGAGCAGCTGTGACAACTCCCACTTTGTGTGTGATTCTTTATCGTTTAACTCCACGCCTCTTGCCAAGACCCTCGCATTTACTTCTCTTACAACCCCATCTATAAATATATTAAACAACCATGGTGACATCACACATCCTTGTCTAAGGCCTACTTTTACTGGGAAATAATTTCCCTCTTTCCTACATACTCTAACTTGAGCCTCACTATCCTCGTAAAAACTCTTCACTGCTTTCAGTAACCTACCTCCTACACCAAACATCTGCAACATCTGCCACATTGCTCCCCTATCCACCCTGTCATATGCCTTTTCCAAATCCATAAATGCCACAAAGACCTCTTTAGCCTTATCTAAATACTGTTCACTTATATGTTTCACTGTAAACACCTGGTCCACACACCCCCTACCTTTCCTGAATCCCTGCTCACACTCCAACAGATCGTCAGGTCCCAAGTACCATTCGTCTCCATTCACTCCTATCTAACACGCTCACGCACGCTTGCTGGAAGTCCAAGCCCCTTGCCCACAAAACCTCCTTTACCCCCTCTCTCCAACCCTTTCGAGGACGACCCCTACCCCACCTTCCTTCCCCTATAGATTTATATGCTTTCCATGTCATTCTACTTTGATCCATTCTCTCTAAATAACCAAACCACCTCAACAACCCCTCTTCTGCCCTCTGACTAATACTTTTATTAACTCCACACCTTTTCCTAATTTCCACACTCCGAATTTTCTGCATAATATTTACACCACACATTGCCCTTAAACAGGACATCTCCACTGCCTCCAACCGTCTCCTCGCTGCTACATTTACCACCCAAGCTTCACACCCATATAAGAGTGTTGATACTACTATACTTTCATACATTCCCTTCTTTGCCTCCATCGATAACGTTTTTTGACTCCACATATACCTCAACGCACCACTCGCCTTTTTTCCCTCATCAATTCTATGATTAACCTCATCCTTCATAAATCCATCCGCCGACACGTCAACTCCCAATTATCTGAAAACATTCACTTCTTCCATACTCCTCCTCCCCAATTTGATATCCAATTTTTCTTTATCTAAATCATTTGACACCCTCATCACCTTACTCTTTTCTATGTTCACTTTCAACTTTCTACCTTTACACACATTCCCAAACTCATCCATTAACCTTTGCAATTTTTCTTTAGAATCTCCCATAAGCACAGTATCATCAGCAAAAAGTAACTGTGTCAATTCCCATTTTGAATTTGATTCCCCAAAATTTAATCCCACCCCTCTCCTGAACACCCTAGCATTTACTTCCTTTACAACCCCATCTATAAATATATTAAACAACCATGGTGACATTACACATCCCTGTCTAAGACCTACTTTTACCGGGAAGTAGTCTCCCTCTCTTCTACACACCCTAACCTGAGCCTCACTATCCTCATAAAAACTCTTTACAGCATTTAATAACTTACCACCTATTCCATATACTTGCAACATCTGCCACATTGCTCCTCTATCCACTCTATCATATGCCTTTTCTATATCCATAAATGCAATAAAAACTTCCCTACCTTTATCTAAATACTGTTCACATATATGCTTCAATGCAAACACTTGATCTACACATCCCCTACCCACTCTGAAACCTCCTTGCTCATCCGCAATCCTACATTCTGTCTTACCTCTAATTCTTTCGATTATAACCCTACCATACACTTTTCCTGGTATACTCAGTAAATTTATTCCTCTATAATTTTTACAGTCTCTTTTGTCCCCTTTCCCTTTATATAAAGGGACTATACATGCTCTCCGCCAATCCCTAGGTACCTTCCCCTCTTTCGTACATTTATTAAACAAAAGTACCAACCACTCCAACACTATATCCCCCCCTGCTTTTAACATTTCTGTCATGATCCTATCAGTTCCAGCTGCTTTACCCCCTTTCATTTTACATAATGCCTCACGTACCTCCCCCACACTTACATTCTGCTCTTCTTCACTCCTAAAAGATGGTATGCCTCCCTGACCAGTGCATGAAATTACTGCCTCTGTTTCTTCCTTAACATTTAAAAGTTCCTCAAAATATTCTCGCCATCTACCTAATACCTCCATCTCCCCATCTACTAACTCCCCTACTCTGTTTTTAACTGACAAATCCATACTTTCCCTAGGCTTTCTTAACTTGTTTAACTCACTCCAAATTTTTTTCTTATTTTCATTAAAATTTCTTGACAGTGCCTCTCCCACTCTATCATCTGCTCTCCTTTTGCACTCTCTCACCACTCTCTTTACCTTTCTTTTACTCCCCATATACTCTGCTCTTCTTATAACACTTCTGCTTTGTAAAAACCTCTCATAAGCTACCTTTTTCTCTTTTATCACACCCTTTACTTCATCATTCCACCAATCACTCCTCTTTCCTCCTGCCCCCACCCTCCTATAACCACAAACTTCTGCCCCACATTCTAATACTGCATTTTTAAAACTATTCCAACCCTCTTCAACCCCCCCACTACTCATCTTTGCACTAGCCCACCTTTCTGCCAATAGTCGCTTATATCTCACCCGAACTTCCTCCTCCCTTAGTTTATACACTTTCACCTCCCTCTTACTTGTTGTTGCCACCTTCCTCTTTTCCCATCTACCTCTTACTCTAACTGTAGCTACAACTAAATAATGATCCGATATATCAGTTGCCCCTCTATAAACATGTACATCCTGGAGCCTACCCATCAACCTTTTATCCACCAATACATTTGTTGTTGTATACTATTAATGTAAGAATATGTATTGTCAGAGCAACACAGTGGAAACTTGGTATAGAAGACTTCTTCAATTCTATTGTTAACTGCTGGCCCAACTTATGCTTCTGCCTGTGATACTGTCTTAACTGCTATACTTCTCAGGTTCCAGTATATGAGTCTCCATTCTCGTGCCTCTCCTTGAGAGGTATAGTATCAGGATTAAGTGACTCAACACTTTGTATCTAATCTAAGGGACTAAGCACTTAAAAATAACCTTATCACTTCTTCAATTCTTATATGGGTGTGAAGCATGGGTTTTTATTGTTACAGCAAGTTGGAGACTGGAAGTAATGGAGATGTCATGTTTGAGGGCAGTTTGTGGTGTGAATACTATTATGCAGAGAATTCAGATCTTGGCGATTTGAAAAAGGAATAGGGTTACCAAGTTTTATTCAGAGGATAGCAGAGGGGTTGTTGAAATGGTTTGGACATTTTAGGAAGGATGGAACAAAATAGAATGATTATATGGGTGTGTAAATCTGGGGTGGAGAGGAGTGGTAGGGGTCATCCAAGAAAAATTTGGAGGGAGGGAGTAAGGAAGTTTTGAGTGCTTGGGGCTTGAGCATCTAACAGGCATGTGAGAGCATGTTAGACAAGAGTCAATGGAGGCAAGTAGCTTTTATGACGATGTGCTATTTGGAACATGAACAGGGTAACATTGATGAAGGAATTCGGGAAAACCGGTTAGCTGAATTTGAGCCTTGGAGGTAGATATATATAGTGCCTGCATTTTTAAGGAGGGGTGGGGGGTGTTGCAGTTTGAAGGGTCATCTGAAGTGATGTCAGCATGATTCTGGCAAAAGTGATTGGATGAGTGACAGTGAAGGTCACTTCTATCTTGATGAGAGATGGCCAGTGTGTTGAGAGGGAGAATGAGAATATCAGTGAATGAAATTTGATTTAAATGTAAATGGATTGCATATGCAGCTTATCTGAATTTCTAATATCAAACAAGATTTAGAATTTTAATGCACAAGCTTCACATTTGGTATTGAATGGAATATTGAAAGTGATAGGAAGATTGTTTCAAGGAAGGGAATGCCTTGGTGTCAGTAAAGAGTTCTTGATCCAAAGAATTAGAGCTATCTTTCCCTTGGATTGAACCTGATTACTTCCCATTCACCAGGCTTTGTATGACCTATGGCACTTTCCCATGAATAAAATAATAATATTTAAACCATTTCTCATGATATGAGAGTAAGACCATGATGATTGCTATGCACCTTGCTGCCTTGAAAGATTTAATTTGAGAGACTGAATTATGTGTTATCAGTCCTATTTTCAAAACTGAATAATTTATAAGTTTTTTTTTTTTTTTTTTTTTTTTTTTTTTTTTTTTTTTTTTTTTTTTTTTTTTTTTTGCGGAATCTTGTGTTCTTTGAAGTGGCCTCACTAGGACGATATTGATGTTTCATGTGCCTTTGTGGGCTAATTTTTTTCTTTAATATGATGGTGATACATCTTACCCTCTTCTGCTTACAGACATGTAAATATTCTATTGTTTATGGGGTGTGTTAAGACTCAGCAGTTGGCAATTGTAACCCAGTGGTGCGAAGGGTCTAGCCTTTATAAACACCTCCACGTTCAGGAGACTAAATTTGAGCTTATGAGAATTATAGATATTGCCCGACAAACGTCACAAGGCATGGAGTGAGTATTTGATAGTTTATTTTGTTCTGTAATATTGGTTTGCAATTATATTCATAGCCTTGGATTTTTTATGTGCAAATATAAAAAACATATTAGTTTACCAGAAAAACACATTAGTTTTTACATATTAGAAAACGTTTCAGTCCTAGCATTTGCTTGCGTGTTTTTCTAAAGCAGCTTGTCAGGCATATTGTAAATACAGCTTTTTTGAAGAATCTAATAAGTGCATCTTTTTCAGCTACCTCCACGCAAAGAATATAATCCACAGAGATTTGAAGTCAAATAACATATTCCTACATGATGATTATACAGTTAAGATTGGGGACTTTGGTCTTGCGACAGTCAAGGTAACACATTATTTGTTCTTTTTCAATGATTTCCATTTCAGTAATTATAATCATCTTTCACACAAGTTAACAAGGGAACAAATAAGGCTAATGCTGTGTTAAGAAAATTGTTTTAATGATTTGCTATAATGCTTTAGTTTGTTATCATTAGTGTTTTTCAGGTGTTCTCTCTCCCTTATCTTCTCAACTGATTTCAATATCAAATTGTAGTTTATAGTGTAAATTGTCATAGTCATTACATAACTTTTAGTTCTTGAGACATATTGAACTTGGACAGTGTAAGTCTGTATAGCTTGTTTGGCTCCCTCATAACTGTTTTGGATACATTTTTGTAATTTTATATGCCAATTTTTCTCAGGTAATGGATTCTCTAATGACTGTAGGGCTAATATGTTATGAGCCTTATTCCTTGCTTGGTATTTCTGTTAACCTCATGGGTTGCCGGAGTCCTTTCTCATTGCCTCAGACCCACTATTTCAAGCACTTTTTTTTTCTCTTCCCTATACTGACAAAAGAATTATGAGTTTGAAAGGCATGACATACATATACTTTATAATGTGGTGAATTGGTTTTTATTATAAATATACCACATGACCCTGGAGGTTTCCATTTCTTCTACATTGTTTTCCTTTTTTTTATGTTACTCTTTTCATTAGTTTAAGGTTCATATGGTAAAGTGTTTTAAACTAGTACAGTACTGCCATGTTTACTTTTATAATACAGGTTAATCAACTTGTCTGATCTGACTTTTGACAACTTTTATATTATATTACCAAGGCTTATGATGCTATATTACCAAAGTTGGACATTATATCACCATATTGTGTATTTTTATACGTATATATTTCTAAACTGTTGTATTCTGGGCACCTCTGCAAAAACAGTGATTATGTGAGAGTGAGGTGAAAGTGTTGAGTGATGAAAGTATTTTCTTTTTTGGGATTTCCTTTCTTTTTGGGTCACCCTGCCTCGGTGGGAGATGGCCGACTTGTTGAAAAAAAAAAAAAAAGTTGAAAAATTAGCTTTTTTGTAGAACAAGTGAACTCTGACAGACATCATTCCTTGTTTGAGGTTCAGGTCTTGGTATGAGCATTGGTTGTTACTTGTGCAAATCAGGTTTGATTAATATATAATTTACAGTATGCTAAAGAGTAACATACACTTGCAGGGTGGCCGATGGACCCAAGAATGTCAGGGTGGGCGACAAATCCAACAACCCTCTGGATCAATACTTTGGATGGCACCAGAGGTGATAAGAATGCAAGATGAAAACCCTTATACTTCCCAGAGTGATGTGTATGCATTTGGGATAGTTCTATATGAGCTATTCTCCGGTTGCCTCCCATATTCAACTATAAATAATAAAGACCAGGTAAATGGTTCCTTTTTTAAATAGGCTTCACTACATCACATTGTTTCTTGTTTGTAAAAATTTTGTAATAACATTTTGAGCCTAAGAATTTCACCATTGTGGCAAAACGTGCCAGGTTTAAGTGTAATTTTTTTTTTAGACTGGTATAGCATATAAGTGACCCCAAAAAATATTTTCAAAGCCAAAACTAAATAGTTATCATTATGCTTGGTAGGATACAACTGTCAGATTATTCTGAATCTTGTTAAACTAAAAGTTCACTATTCCAAACTTAACAGTTCAAAATGTATGTTGTTGTATGTCTCTCTTAAGAGCCAAACCCATATACTGTAAAAGATAAAAAAAAAAAAATACTTTTTTTTTCCATAAGAGAAACTTAGACCCTTGGCTGCTAAATTCAGGTTCAGTGTTGGAAACACTTGTGTACTGCCTTTGACCTCACTACTACTTAATACATCCTCAACCTGTGTGGAAGATAATAAGAATAGAGGAGCACTGCCCTTCTCAAACCAATCTTTTTTCACTTGTATATTTGTCTAGGGAGGTACTACCGTCCTGCCAAGTGAGTGTAAAGCGAAAGCCTATAATTGTTTTACATGATGGTAGGATTGCTGGTGTCCCTTTTTCTGTCTCATAAACATGCAAGATTTCAGGTACATCTTGCTACTTCTACTTATTACACTTAGGTCACACTACACATAGGTCTACAAGCATATATATATGCACACCCCTCTGGGTTTTCTGCTATTTTCTTTCTAGTTCTTGTTTATTTCCTCTTATCTCCATGGGGAAGTGGAACAGAATTCTTCCTCCGTAAGCCATGCGTGTTGTAAGAGGCGACTAAAATGCTGGGAGCAAGGGGCTAGTAACCCCTTCTCCCATATAAATTACTAAATTTGAAGAGAAACTTTTGTTTTTCTTTTTGGGCCACCCTGCCTCGGTGGGATACGGCCGGTTTGTTAAAAAAAAAAAAATATTTGTCCAACCTAACCCTTTCTCCTGTATACATTACTTAAGTTGAAAAGAGAAACTTTTGTTTTTCTTTTTGGACTAACCCTGCTTCAGTGGGAGATTTGAAGATTTGTCCAACATATACTGCAGCACCTGAAGGTGGGAAGTACAGTACCTGCACTCTGAAAGGAAGATGTTACAGTTTAGATGGTCATATGAATTATGATGTCTGTGCACTTCTGACAAGACAGCTATTGAATGAGTGTTGGTGAATGTGTTTTCTTTTTTGGGATCATCATACCTTGGTGGGAGATGGCTGGCGTGTTAAAAAATATAGCCAGAAATTGGCAAGTACCATATTATTATTATTATTATTATTATTTTTTAGATTATTTTCCTGTACTTAAACTGTAATTGGATGAATCTTATTATGCCGATATGGTATAGTGGTTAGCACATTGGCTTTCTAGTTTTAGGACTGGCTTGCCATGGATTCAAACCCCCATGTTACTGTATTACAATTTCATAACTCGAAGATGTAAATAGTAAAATACTTAAACTTACTGTGTGTAAGTTCCTTGGTATGTAATTGTTTTTTAACACGTTGGCCATTTCCCACTGAGGCAGGGTGACCCAAAAAGAAAGAAAAAACTTTCACCATTATTCAACACTTTCACCATCACTCATATATGATCACTGTCTTTGCAGATGTGCTTAGATACAACAGCTTAGACACACGTAATATATCTGTGAAATAATTCAAAATTGTTTTTAACAGATTCTATTCATGGTGGGCCGAGGATATTTGCGGCCAGACATGACATACCTTCGTTCAGATATGCCCAAGCCAATACGTCGTCTATTTGATGATTGCATTAAATACAATCGAGATGACAGACCGTTGTTCCCACAGGTAAGTAGATTTTTGTTTTATTCAGTATATGTAGTGTATGTATATGTGAAGATAGTCTGCACTAGCTATGTGAAGATAGTCTGCACTAAGTTTGACAGTAGGAAGTAGAGGGAGAAGGAAGAGGATGGGTAGTTGAGTGAGTGTATTTAGGAAGGCAAAAGAGAGCAGGTAGTTAAGTGTGTGTGTTTGAGAGTATGAAGTAGATTAGAGAGAAGTGGGTGGGTAACTTAGTGAGCATTTTTGAAAGAAAGAAATAGAATGCAGATTGAGGGCAGGTAGTGTGAGTGAGTTTGAGGTTAGAGGTAGAGAGGAAGATGTGAAAGGACAGGTACTTTTGTAAGTGTGTTTAAAGATAGGGAAGTAGAGAGGAAGAACAGGGAGGGCAGATGGTTGAGAAATGTGTAATACTGGATGTAAGCAGTTTGATGAGATGAACTGAATGGATGAGATTTTATTACTGTATTTCTTTTATATTAAAATATATCTAAGGGAGGAGGAAGTTCGGGAGAGATACAAGCGACTATTGGCAGAAAGGTGGGCTAGTGCAAAGATGAGTAGTGGGGGGATTGGGGAGGGTTGGAATAGTTTTAAAAATGCAGTATTAGAATGTGGGGCAGAAGTTTGTGGTTATAGGAGGGTGGGGGCAGGAGGAAAGAGGAGTGATTGGTGGAATGATGATGTAAAGGGTGTGATAAAAGAGAAAAAGGTAGCTTATGAGAGGTTTTTACAAAGAAGTGTTAAGAGAAGAGCAGAGTATATGGAGAGTAAAAGAAAGGTGAAGAGAGTGGTGAGAGAGTGCAAAAGGAGAGCAGATGATAGAGTGGGAGAGGCACTGTCAAGAAATTTTAATGAAAATAAGAACAAATTTTGGAGTGAGTTAAACAAGTTAAGAAAGCCTAGGGAAAGTATGGATTTGTCAGTTAAAAACAGAGTAGGGGAGTTAGTAGATGGGGAGAGGGAGGTATTAGGTAGATGGCAAGAATATTTTGAGGAACTTTTAAATGTTGAGGAAGAAAGGGAGGTGGTAATTTCATGCACTGGCCAGTGAGGTATACCATCTTTTAGGAGTGAAGAAGAGCAGAATGTAAGTGTGGTGGAGGTACGTGATGCATTACGTAGAATGAAAGGGGGTAAAGCAGCTGGAACTGATGGGATCATGACAGAAATGTTAAAAGCAGGGGGGGATATAGTGTTGGAGTGGTTGGTACTTTTATTTAATAAATGTATGAAAGAGGGGAAGGTACCTAGGGATTGGCGGAGAGCATGTATAGTCCCTTTATATAAAGGGAAAGGGGACAAAAGAGAATGTAAAAATTATAGAGGAATAAGTTTACTGAGTATACCAGGAAAAGTATACGGTAGGGTTATAAATGAAAGAATTAGAGGTAAGACAGAATGTAGGATTGCGGATGAGCAGGGAGGCTTCAGAGTGGGTAGGGGATGTGTAGATCAAGTGTTTACATTGAAGCATATATGTGAACAGTATTTAGATAAAAGTAGGGAAGTTTTTATTGCATTTATGGATTTAGAAAAGGCATATGATAGTGGATAGAGGAGCAATGTGGCAGATGTTACAAGTATATGGAATAGGTGGTAAGTTACTAAATGCTGTAAAGAGCTTTTATGAGGATAGTGAGGCTCAGGTTAGGGTGTGTAGAAGAGAGGGAGAATACTTCCCGGTAAAAGTAGGTCTTAGACAGGGATGTGTAATGTCACCATGGTTGTTTAATATATTTATAGATGGGGTTGTAAAAGAAGTAAATGCTAGGGTGTTCGGGAGAGGGGTGGGATTAAATTATGAGGAATCAAATTCAAAATGGGAATTGACACAGTTACTTTTTGCTGATGGGAGATTCTAAAGAAAAATTACAAAGGCTAGTGGATGAGTTTGAGAATGTGTGTAAAGGTAGAAAGTTGAAAGTGAACATAGAAAAGAGTAAGATGATGAGGGTATCAAATGATTTAGATAAAGAAAAATTGGATATCAAATTGTGGAGGAGGAGTATGGAAGAAGTGTATGTTTTCAGATACTTGGGAGTTGACGTGTCGGCGGATGGATTTATGAAGGATGAGGTTAATCATAGAATTGATGAGGGAAAAAAAAGGTGAGTGGTGCATTGAGGTATATGTGGAGTCAAAAAACGTTATCTATGGAGGCAAAGAAGGGAATGTATGAAAGTATAGTAGTACCAACACTCTTATATGGATGTGAAGCTTGGGTGGTAAATGCAGCAGCAAGGAGACGGTTGGAGGCAGTGGAGATGTCCTGTCTAAGGGCAAGTGTGGTGTAAATATTATGCAGAAAATTCGGAGTGTGGAAATTAGGAAAAGGTGTGGAGTTAATAAAAGCATTAGTCAGAGGGCAGAAGAGGGGTTGTTGAGGTGGGTTTGGTCATTTAGAGAGAATGGATCAAAGTAGAATGACATGGAAAGCATATAAATCTATAGGGGAAGGAAGGCGGGGTAGGGGTCGTCCTCGAAAGGGTTGGAAAGAGGGGGTTAAAGGAGGTTTTGTGGGCGAGGGGCTTGGATTTCCAGCAAGCGTGCATGAGCATGTTAGATAGGAGTGAATGGAGACGAATGATACTTGGGACCTGACGATCTGTTGGAGTGTGAGCAGGGTAATATTTAGTGAAGGGATTCAGGGAAACTGGTTATTTTCATATAGTCGGACTTGAGTCCTGGAAATGGGAAGTACAATGCCTGCACTTTAAAGGAGGGGTTTGGGATATTGGCAGTTTGGAGGGATATGTTGTGTATCTTTATACGTATATGCTTCTAAACTGTTGTATTCTGAGCACCTCTGCAAAAGCAGTGATAATGTGTGAGTGTGGTGAAAGTGTTGAATGATGATGAATGTATTTTCTTTTTGGGGATTTTTTCTTTTTTGGGTCACCCTGCCTCGGTGGGAGGCGGCCGACTTGCTGAAAAAAAAAAAATCTAGGAAATAAGCTTTTTTGTCTTGTGCACTATTTGTTGAGCCTAATTCTTTCCATAAGGCATGTTTGCAGCTTCACTCTCTTGTCCTCACATCATCATCTTATGGAAAGAGCCTGTACAGGATTTTGTAACTCAAGGCTTTCATGCATACCCCCTTCCCCCCCCCCTCATCTTTTGTGAAATAACAGCCTGGCACAGGGTGCCTTGATGCTGGTGAAAGGCCCTTGATCCAAAGAATTACAGTTACCCTTCCCTTGGATCAAACTTTTGTTTCTTTTAAATATGGTTTATACATCAGAGTTAATGATCATTTGTCATTTTACAGATCCTAGCCAATATAGAATCACTGGTGCGTTCCTTGCCAAAGATCCATCGTTCAGCAAGTGAACCAACGCTTACACGCACACACCTGAACACTGATGATATGATGTATCTATGTGCATCGCCCAAAACGCCCATCAACTCGGGTGCCTTTTTATTTTCAACAGCTGGCAACATTTAAGTCTGGAAGAGCATCAACTTTCCTATGCCACAGTCTGTGTTGTTCCATGGAGGATAATCTGTTAGACCTTGCCAGCTATACTTGTCCCATGGAGCCACTCTGTCCTTCCCCACTTCTTCCCCATAAATTTCATCAGCTGATTTGTCAATACGGAGCCAGTTACCCTCCTGCTTTTAATAATCCAAGATGTTCCAGTGAGACCACCTTTAGGCCATACCAGCTGAATTATTGTATGGAGCGCACCTTGCCAAGATTCTGCCAACTAAAATGTTACAAACAGCTTACCCAGGCCTTGCCAAAAGCTTGTTACATGAACACTAGTATGAACATTTTGTATTTGTAAAGCTTCCTCAGGCATTACTAAGACCACAGCTCCCATAAATTCAGTCATTGAAGGAATATTTATAGAAAATATCGCTGACCAAGTTATCCTATAATATATGTTTTTGTAGAATTGTGTGAATTCTGCTAATATTGTTAACTTGCCTAGAGCAAATTTGTGGACCTCATCAGCATTAAAATGGCCTGTTAATTACAGTATTATCATCACCTTCATAAACCTAATGGCCACGGTGTTTATCAAAGTTAACCACTGTCTTGGCTAAGTTCATTGTAATGCACACACACGTAGGGGCCACATCAGCAGTGTCATTCCAAATTGGAAATTATTAGCAAAGTTGTAAACTATGGCATGATATTTCTTTAATTAAACTGAGGACTTGATCCCTTGTATTACATTTACTTACAATACTGTAAGAGAAAGCCTCATGTGATGATAATATCCTGTGCATCATTGTAATGAAGACTTTCTAAATTCCATTTTTCATTCTACAGCAATAAGGCCCGGCTGAGATCAGAACTTTTAAAGTTTTATTTAATCGCAAATTTTGATAACCACAGAATGGTATGTTTGTACATCTCATTCTGTGATAAATTGGTATTTTTTATTTAGATTATATTTTTGTGTGTAACAGTATTAACATTTGATTATAACTGATTGTTCAGCTGTTCTTCAAATGAGCATTCCCTCATTTAAACATATAGTAATGACTTAAAAAGGGTCCTATGGGTTTTTCTCCTCAAGTAATTAAATCTTTCATTTAAAGATCAAAATTGTTGCTAAAAACACTTCTTAATAAAGGCTTGACACATGCTGTTACAGCCATGGTGGTGAGTTGCAGTGAATGAACAATGTACATTTATAGTCAAGTGTCCTGTGTTAAGTTAAAACTGTGTGGATGTTGCTTTTAACACTGCCACACACCTTTCTTCAACATTCCATTTGATGATTTGGCAATATATTGTCAATGATCTCCTGTGCAGATGTGATGATTGAAATGTTTTTTTCATTCTTACACTATTGAGTTGTATTCATTTTTGTTAGTTTCATCAGGGTGATGAAAGTTTTACAGCAGAGAGTATATTTGCACATTATCAGGTAGGTTTAATTCTTGCAACCCCAGAGATTTAAAGTTTTACGACAGTGTATTTTTATGATGTCATGCTCCATGAAATGGTTGTGACAGTTGTCATGTGACATGCAGAGAATGAAGTGGTTGCCTGAGGTAAGCAGACTCAGAAATTAATTTGGTCTTAAAAATGTTTTTGCATTATCATACAATTGGATTATATAAAAAGTTAGGCCACTTGAAAGTTTTAAGTGCTGTATATGTCAACTAGTTGAAAGTCAACCTAAAGGTAGGTTTTGAAAATGTAGTACTTGAATTAAAGATAGAAGTTTTAAGGCCATGGAGATTGCATTAATGGAAAATAGAACACTTTCCACTTGGGTCAGATGTAAATACCTTGGAGGTCATCTGCACAAGTCAGCTAGGTGTGGGGAGCCGTACATTTGTTTTTATGTTTTGGGGTAACAGATGGTCACTGAAGATAGCAGACCTGAAGGCCATCATGGCTTCAGTACCTCTCTTCCTTACTTTAAAATTCTTATCTTTTCTCATCTTTTTTGTTTTTCCTGTACTTTCTACACATCCTTCTCCTTTCCCCATCCCATCCTGCCCTAGACGTCACCAGTCCATGTACAGACTTCACATTCAGTGATACTGTAGTGCAGTCATCCCATGTTCCATTACCACATTGTTTTATCATCATCAAAATGTTACTCTGTATCAGCTTTAATCATTTTAAAATAAAAGACGAGCTTCCTCGTACATTATTATTTCCATCATCTGTGTAGTAATGCTCGGATCTCAGCTGCATGAATGAATTTAGAATTGCACCATGTTCAGAATTCCTAAGTTAAATATTGCAGCAGTTTTGCTGATGGAAACTGTGATTTAGAATTGGTCTTGTGTAAAATTGACCAGAAGGCACCTGCACATGCCAGTACTGTTTGCATAAGTCTTTCTCTAATTACAGACCACAAAAGAGTTGAAAATTTGAAGCCAGTCAGAAAGTACATTGTCAGGTTATTAACAAGAGCTTTGAGGAAGAAAAGAAGTATTCACTCACCCACTTCAAGGTCCTCTGGGGTAACTAATGTGTGTGAAAGAGAGCAACAGTCACATGAGCATGACCTAATGGCTGCTACACATCTATGTGACAGATCTCGCATAAGTTAAAACAATACACATGATGAAGTCTACATGAAGCAGCACTTCCTACTCGGGAAGACTTACAACCCACCAGCTAGGATTTGCAGACACTGCATTATCCCATACATGGCAAACTCGACTCGGCATGAGTAGTAACGTACATGCAAGATGCTCTACTTGTTATTTATGCGGTGCTGTATGACCCTTATGGGTTTAGTGCTTTATGATAAATTATAATAATACTTATTTGTATTATTTTTATTTTTATGAAAAGATCCTCCTTCAATGGAGGTACCTTCATTCCGGCAAAGAGATCTTGATTTAAAGAATTGAAACACTCTCTCTCTCTTTCTCCTTGGATTAAATCTGATTGCCCCTCTCCCGGTTCCCCAAGGCACACTATAACCCCTATGGGTTTCTTCCCAATTCCCATTCCCTCTAAGAAATAATTAAAAAGGTTTGGAAGGGACAGGTGATACAAACTTGTGCAGTACTTCTCTGCTGGTGTCCTGACCAGTTGCATTCTCAAGTTATCGGCATTAAAGGATTGAAATTGATTGAATGAGGTATTCATATATAACAGGAAAACCAGGATAGCAATTTTCCCAATTTTAATAAAAATGAAAAGCTGGCAGTTTTTTTTTTTTTTATTATCACACTGGCCAATTCCCACCAAGGCAGGGTGGCCCGAAAAAGAAAAACTTTCACCATCATTCACTCCATCACTGTCTTGCCAGAAGGGTGCTTTACACTACAGTTTTTAAACTGCAACATTAACACCCCTCCTTCAGAGTGCAGGCACTGTACTTCCCATCTCCAGGACTCAAGTCCGGCCTGCCGGTTTCCCTGAATCCCTTCATAACTGTTACTTTGCTCACACTCCAACAGCACGTCAAGTATTAAAAACCATTTGTCTCCATTCACTCCTATCAAACACGCTCACGCATGCCTGCTGGAAGTCCAAGCCCCTCGCACACAAAACCTCCTGGCAGTGTCACAGCCCAAAATCAGTCTGAACTAAGACCCCCCTTCATCCCTCCCTCAAGGAAGGTTCCTTGATGCTGGTGAAGGCTCTTGATCTAGGGAACTAGATCTATGCTCCAGTTCTATGAATTAAGCTTGAATGCCTTCCATCACCCCCCTCCCTCACAGGCGCTGTATAATCCCTACTGGTTTAGCGCTCCCCAAAATGTTTCAGGCAGACTAAACCTGCCTCGCCTCACCATTTGAGGACCAACATCAAGGCTCCCACCTTGATGTTAATGAAAGGCTTTTGATCTGAAGTACTGCTATTCTCTTCGGATCAACCCTGATAGCTTGTTTATGACAATAAAAATAAAAAAAAAGTAATATGAGAGGTAAGCCACACATACCTCTCGTTTTTAGTATTAACAAAATTATGGCACATGACTTACAGGGTCATGCGCCTGAGTAATGACAATCAGATTTGATCCAAGGAAGAGGAAGGTAGCTTCAATTCCTTGGGTCAAGAGCCCTTAACCTGCATCAAAGCACACACTTGAAGGGTATCTTGTCACCCAGTCCCCTCAAGGAAGGTTCCTTGATGTTGGTGAGGGGCTCTTGATTTAGGGAATTGGATCTGTGCTCCAGTTCCCCGAATTAAGCCTGAATGCCTTCCACATCCCCCCCCCCCCCCCAGGCGCTGTATAATCCTCCGGGTTTAGCGCTTCCCCCTTTATAATAATAATAATTGTCACCCAGTCTATTTTGGTTTTCATCAACTCTTGCAATATTTTTTTGAGAGTATTACCTCCACAGTTGAGACACTATATTGTAGAAATTATGTATAATTTTCCTGTAATTAATGTAATAATTGAAGGATATAATAGTGTTTATATAACGTAGTGTAGGTATGTAATGTGACTTTTAAATGATGTTAAGCCACAGAGGAACCAAAAACTCCTATCATTTACTCTTTTTACGGTAATCAGTTACGCAAAACGTACTTCTTGTAATGTTGAAAATAAATTAATATTCCAATAATGAAAATGTAATACACGCCTGAAAGTGTTAATAAATTAACTGAAAAGATGAATTATGTACGAAAACGTAGGAGGGACTTCCAAAATGGCGTAAAGTGTATGTTGTTCTAACAGATGTTGCGGAGTTAATCGCTTGTCATCGGGTCCGATAAAGAAATTATCTGCCGAATTTTCTAATAAAATGAAGAACTGTTGTGTAATATATTTGGAAAGGTCCAGATCTGGGAAATAACTTTCAGACTAGTGCGGACAAGAATAAGGAAAGGAAACACGGTCTCGTCTGAAAGGAGGAAATGGCCACCACATGTATTGCCTAATGTGAAGTACGCCTCCCAGTGTACTAATTTTCACTACAGGTAGTTAACTATTTATTGCCTAATAGTTGCCTGCTTATAGGGAGGCTCAAGGAATAGTTGGGTAAGTGTCGTAATTTTTATGTACGCTTATATTGTAATAATTAAGTCGGTCAGTAATTTTTATATAGTTTACAGATAATTTGCCAGTGTTGCTGGATTAATTTTTTCTAATAATTATTCAGGAATCATATGTTCCTAATTTAAGGTTCAGATGCTTGTTGGGGAGGTGAGAAGGGCATGGAAGGAGGGACAAAGTTGTGACCCATTGTGACCACTGTGGTGGCTTAAGCTCTCGCTTCACACACGGAGGGCCCGGGTTCGATTCCCGGCGGGTGGAAACATTTCGACACGTTTCCTTACACTTGCTGTCCTGTTCACCTAGTAGTAAATAGGTACCTGGGTGTTAGTCGACTGGTGTGGGTCGCATCCTGGGGGACAAGATTGAGGACCACAATGGAAATAAGTTAGACAGTCCTCGATGACGCACTGACTTTCTTGGGTTATCCTGGGTGGCTAACCCTCCGGGGTTAAAAATCCGAACGAAATCTTATCTTACTGAAGGTCCCACCTGTCTGGAGTTTACCTGGAGAGAGTTTCGGGGGTCAATGCCCCCGCGGCCCGGTCTGTGACCAGGCCTCCTGGTGGATCAGCGCCTGATCAACCAGGCTGTTGCTGCTGGCTGCACGCAAACCAACGTACGAGCCACAGCCCGGCTGATCAGGAACTGACTTTAGGTGCTTGTCCAGTGCCAGCTTGAAGACTGCCAGGGGTCTGTTGGTAATCCCCCTTATGTGTGCTGGGAGGCAGTTGAACAGTCTCGGGCCCCTGACACTTATTGTATGGTCTCTTAACGTGCTAGTGACACCCCTGCTTTTCATTGGGGGGATGGTGCATCGTCTGCCAAGTCTTTTGCTTTCGTAGTGAGTGATTTTCGTGTGCAAGTTCGGTACTAGTCCCTCTAGGATTTTCCAGGTGTATATAATCATGTATCTCTCCCTCCTGCGTTCCAGGGAATACAGGTTTAGAAACCTCAAGCGCTCCCAGTAATTGATGTGTTTTGTCTCAGGTACAACTTGTATCAGTAAGTGTAATCTGTTTTAGATGTACCAGAGTTCTCCCCAGTTATGTGTGTGAAATGTTAATTCAGGATTGTATCTGAAATTCACTCACATACTACTACTAATAATAATAATAATAATAATAATGTAATAATAATAATAACACGTATACGTATTTACTACACTTGGAAGGTCCTGGAGGGATTAGTACCAAACTTGCACACGAAAATCACTCCCTATAAAAGCAAAAGACTCGGCAGGAGATGCAACATTCCCCCGATGAAAAGCAGGGGCGCCACGAGTACACTGAGAGACAACACAATAAGTGTCCGGGGCCCAAGACTGTTCAATTGCCTCCCAGCATACATAAGGGGGATTACCAATAGACCTCTGGCTGTCTTCAAGAAGGCACTGGACAGGCACCTAAAGTCAGTACCTGACCAGCCGGGCTGTGGTTCGCACGTCAGCTTGCGTGCGGCCAGCAGTAACAGCCTGGTTGATTAGACCCTGATCCACCATGAGGCCTGGTCTCAGACCGGACCGGGCCGAGAGGGCATTGACCCCCGAAACCCTTTCCAGATAAACTCCAGGTAATGTACAAGGTATACAGACCATAGCTGACATCAGTGACATACTATTATATAGAAAGTTCCTTGTTATGCTGAGCATTTCGGGCAAATTAGGACAGTTTTGTCCCAGGATGCGACCCACACCAGTCCACTAACACCCAGGTACCTATTTTACTGATGGGTGAACATGGACAACCGGTGTAGGGAAACACGTCCGATGTGTCCACTCCTTCGCGGGGAATCGAACCCGGACCCTCACCGTGTGAAGCGAGAGTTTTTGCCGCCTGGCCACGGGCCTTAGGCTCCCAGCCTAAGGTTTTAAACATTTTATAGAATTTTGATATAGGAATATTTGCCTTTTGAAATGGACATTCATTCATTGATATAAATGCTTTAAGAGGTGGAGTCGTTTGAGAATTGTTGTTAGTGACTACTTGTTACATGTAATTCCAATAAGTAAGGAATAATAAAATTGACTGATCATTGTGCCTATTTATTATAATATAAACTAATTAAGGCATTATACATATGTATTCATAATTAGTGTAAGCTGTGTTTGTTTTAGTTAACACCTGTACGTTGTACAGTACGTTGCAGGTATATACATATAACCACTATTGGACTGTTTTATTAATTATAAACGAGCGAGCTCTTGTATGTTAAGTTGAGGAAGGTTGTGTGTGGTGCATCAAGCCTGTGCGTTCATTGTTTGCTGACGAGGGAGGAACCCTCGAGAGCCGTCAGGACCCTTGGGGAACCGTGTGACGTTCTCAGGTACCAAGACAGAGCCGTCCTGGCGTCGCCGGAGACTGGGAGAGGCCGAGGGGGATGACGCCGTTGAGCCAGAACCAAAACTTCCTGCAGAAGTAGCAACTCGACGTCGTAACCAAGGACTCAGGGGTGCTGGTGATCCGGTATCGTTAACCTTGGCATTGTTTGTGAGGTTCCTACGACGCCAAACATTTGGAGAGCATGGTGTCGAATTAATGTTCCTTAGACCCAGGTGACGACGCGGTAGTGGAGAAGACCCAGGTACCTCATATCTTGACAAAAAGAGAGGGCGGTCTTCAGGAGACGAAGAAGGCGTGGAAGGGCCACAAGGGGGGCTGTAAGACGAGGGAGGAGAAGACTCTGGCGAGGAAAGTTGCGGCTTACAGTGATGACGCGATAAGATGGGACATGAGGCTATGGAAGAAGATAGAGATAACGGTTCGCAGAAGGCTTTCATACGGCTGATGGGTGACGTTCGCTCCGACACATCAGAGGTGCTATAATAAGCGCTCTCACCTTCAGCGTTTGCTTTGGTTTTCAGCAGAGAGCCAGTCTCATGCTTCTTACGAGGTAGTTCCAATGTCTTCATGCTACACTGTGGGTTATTAATTATAAATTTGAGTGCATGTCTGGCATAGTGTACTTTTTCGTACTCCACAATGGCGCAAAAGGTATTAATGATGCCGGGATGTTGACGTTCAGCTTGTCGCACCTCTTCTATGGATCTCCCGCCGGGTTTGTGCAATTGCAGAGACGTTATTTCGCCGAACCTTGCGAAAAACTCTGCTAAATTGTTCATATTAGCTTGTTCCTTAGAGATATTTGTGGCAAGTAATGTCCTGAAGGTCCGCGTGTCCTCTTCTAGTTTCTGGGGTAATGCGTTTTGACGTCGAACTTTTGTTTCCTCGTCATTCATTTCTAATGTCTTCGAATGTTTCAGCGCATGTGCGACAACCCTCCAGTCTTTGGTGAGGCGCTTAATTTTCTTGTAGCTTGTAATCAGCTTGAGGGAGATGTAACCCTCGTGGTGCTTGGTTACATGCTTAAGCAGAAACATGTCTTTCACCAGATTGTGGTCACTAAGGTAATACTCGACCAACTCCAAGATGCGACGACAAACATCCTGACTTGGGAGAACGACCGGAACCGTCTTAACAGTCGTCCCCTCGCCTATATCCTCTAACGAGTTGGACTGTATTAGGGAGGTCTGAGCCTTGTGTTTTGCTGCTTCTACCAGCTGCGTCTGGTCGATATTTGTGGTTGGCAGGAATTGGTTGACTACTTCGTCAGTGTCGTCTGACAGTGACGAGCTGTCCGAGACAACCAGGGAGTTCATGTTGTCACTTAACGCTGAACATTGTTCACTATCGCCTCCAGTCACAATTCTTGACAAGAGGCTTAACATTGTCCTTTCTTTAGCTACCAGAGATCAAGTTTGGAAATGGATGAGTGTATTTACGTAGCGCGTCTGTATGAGCGAGCAGAGGATCGAACTTCCAGTAGACCTTATGTGAAATCTCAGATGGGATTATTGCTTCATACGAAGTAACCAGTTGGCACGAGTTGAATGATATATCACCTCTTAAGGACAACTTGTAAATCAGAGAAAATGTGCTTGGTGTCCACCTTGTGGAGAGACTGGAATAAGCAGCCTGCCTGTGTGAGCCTTTATACAGCACTTCTTAACACTACGTCATCACTTGTACGGTATCAGCACGGGTAAGCCAGTGGTCGCTGCTGCCGTGGCTTACCATAGGACTCGCACCACTGGACAAAGTTTCCTCTAATAAACTTGTGTCAGGCGATTTTCACCAGTGAGTAAAGTAAAAACAGTTATACGGCATTACAGATAGAGGAATCTATCTGCCAATTATGACTTAGCAACCACATTTGGTGTCCAGCTTTTTTTCTTTTTTTACTAGATAAGCTTGCATTATTGCTACGTCGCCGTTTGCGAAAATAATGAAGGGCGAAACAAAGAAAAAGAGCAACGAGAAGAAATCGTCACAATAGACATAAAGATACAATGGTTATTGGCTAACTCAGCCGACGCCTCTTATTGAGTTAAGTTCCCTTCTCATTGTCCTTCCCTCCTTCACTTCCCCTCTCCACAGTTATAAATAACTTCCTCGCCAGCTTAAATATTACTCACCCGGGTTAGATGCAAACATACTAATAAAGACAGTGATAAATGATTGAGCGAGAGAACAATACACTAGTGCATAGATAGCTAATTGCATTACATATGAGACTGATATGGTTATATACACTTCCCAAGATATGTTCCCAATGTAAATAAGTCCCCGTCTGACTTCCTTGGTTTATCCACGGCAATCTACACATATGCTGCTATGTATAACTTATGAAACTATGTTGGTGGCCCAGTGGCCTGGTGGCTAAAGCTCTCGCTTCACACACGGAGGGCCCGGGTTCGATTCCCGGCGGGTGAAAACATTTCGACACGTTTCCTTACACCTGTTGTCCTGTTCACCTAGCAGCAAATAGGTACCTGGGTGTTAGTCGACTGGTGTGGGTCGCATCCTGGGGGACAAGGTTAAGGACCCCAATGGAAATAAGTTAGACAGTCCTCGATGACGCACTGACTTTCTTGGGTTATCCTGGGTGGCTAACCCTCCGGGCTTAAAAATCCAAACGAAATCTTATCTTACCTGTACCTGGATAACCTTACTTAACTACCATGTAAATCTTAAAGCCACTGTTATGGTTGTAGGTGGTATTGAGAGAGTAATAACAATGTAATTAAGTCCTCCGGATCACAATATAACAGACGATCGAACATAAACAAAATGACAATTTAATTCTCTCACTGTTCCCAACATCTTACAACAGGAATTCCTTGTATCATATAATTTTAGCTCCTGGTATCTTAACCTACACTAGAGGTCTACTAGTTGTACTTTCACGAGCCCTAGGAGCTATAATGGTAGCAGTAATAGTAATAGCAGTAGTAGAAGTAATAGTAGTAGTAATAGTACTAGTATTAATAGTAGTAGCAGTAGTAACATTAGTAGTGATCAAGGTTTAAATGTTACAAGGACCCCAATGTAAATAAATCACTCTTACTTGGGTTATCCTGGGTAATCTACACACATGCTGTGTATTATAATTTATGTAACTATTTATGTGTATCTGTACCTGAATAAACTTACTAACATCTTCAGTTAAGGTATCCCTAATGAATGCGTTCCTGATATTACCTGGTACTTCCTGGTACTGTCTGCCACTACCTGGTACTAGCAGTTCTTTGTACTGTCTGCTACTACCTGGTACTAGCAGTTCTTTGTACTGTCTGCTACTACCTGTTACTAGCAGTTACTTCTTGATACTGTCTGCTACTACCTGGTACTAGCAGTTACTTCTTGATACTGTCTGCTACTACCTGGTACTAGCAGTTACTTCTTGGTACTGTCTACTACTACCTGGTACTAGCAGTTCTTGATACGTGTGCTACTACCTGGTACTAGCAGTTACTTCTTGGTACTGTCTATTACTACTACCTGGTACTAGCAGTTACTTTTTGATACTCTCTGCTACTACCTGGTACTAGCAGTTGTTTCTTGATACTGTCTACTACTACCTGGTACTAGCAGTTACTTCTTAGTACTGTCTACTACCTGGTACTAGCAGTTACTTCTTGATACTGTCTGCTACTACCTGGTATTAGCAGTTACTTCTTGATACTGTCTGCTACTACCTGGTACTAGCAGTTACTTCTTGGTACTGTCTACTACTACCTGGTACTAGCAGTTCTTGATACTATCTGCTACTACCTGGTACTAGCAGTTACTTCTTGGTACTGTCTACTACTACCTGGTACTAGCAGTGACTTCTTGATACTATCTGCTACTACCTGGTACTAGCAGTTACTTCTTGATACTGTCTACTACTACCTGGTACTAGCAGTTACTTCTTGGTACTGTCTACTACTACCTGGTACTTGCAACATTTAGCCACCATTCATGAACCACACCTTATAACTGATCCCTGTTTATTTTGTATTTCTCACCTGTACTGTGCTCTGCACTCCATGTATTTTTTTTATTAGTATTGGTTTCATTCTTAGATTAAAATGCCCAAAATACATTATTATTCATGGGGGGAGCGCTAAAAACCCAGGGGAAATAAATATTATACCACTAGTGTACTTTCGTTTTTGACATGATTTGCAAACTACTTAAGACTCGTTCATCAGAGCCTGTGAACTGGGAGATACTCAGGTTCGATTCAAAAGGAAAGCTGATCCGTTTCCTTTAATCCAGAACCCCATCCAAGTATCTCGGCTTCCCCCTCCCTAGGTATAGCGCTTTATTTGATAATAATCCTCCCCCATCCTCCTGTGACGGGCAGCATCACTTGCAGTGACCAAAACAGCATCTATATTTAAGGTCAGTATTGTACTCTATACTTCATTATAGCTCTCCTGTTTAATCACCACGTCAGTATTCAACATTTATACTGTTTGCAAGCGAATTTTTGAGTTTGGGTGAATGATAAACAGGTAATAGGCAAAGTTTATTCAGGCCGCATCAGTGGCTGGAACACTAGGCTGCATCAATGGCTGGAGCACTAGGCTACATCACTGGCTGGAACACTAGGCTGCATCAGTGGCTGGAACACTAGGCTGTATTGCTGGCTGGAACACTAGGCTGCATCAATGGCTGGAACACTAGGCTGCATCAATGGTTGGAGCACTAGGCTACATCACTGGCTGGAACACTAGGCTGCATCAGTGGCTGAAACACTAGGCTGCATCAGTGGCTGGAGCACTAGGCTGCATCAATGGCTGGAACACTAGGCTGCATCAGTGGCTGAAACACTAGGCTGCATCAATGGCTGGAACACTAGGCTGCATCAGTGGCTGAAACGTGTGTGTATGTGCGCGCGCGCGCTAGTGTGGGTGTATGATCCACTTAATATTTGTATATATAACTCATTACAATTGTGACCAGGTGTGGACGTATCAGTGGTTCATTACTTTTGAATTTGTTCATGATGTAACCAGTATAGGAGTGAAGCGATTCATTCCCTCTGAAACTTCCCATGATTAGGACAGATCTCCCTTTGGATTCATTACCTTTGTAACTAGTTCAGCACATAATTTTGGGTCCATCACTGGACCCATTATGTCCCTTTTGAAATCTTTTACTACCGCCCAAGGTGGTAGGGGGTTTGCATAAAGATATTAAACTAATGGTGGTGGTGTGTGTTGTGTGTGGTGTTTGGTGTGTGTGTGTGTGTGTGTGTGTGTTGTGTGTGTGTGTTTTGTGTGGGTGTGGTGTGTGTGGTTGTGTGTGTGTGTGTGTGGTGGTGTGACTCAACAATCAATTTTTGCACCAATAATCATTAAGTTTTGCCCGGGGTGGAAGTGGGGAATTGCTCGTTACTCTAAAATTTTGTTCATTTTGTAGCCAAAGATAACGTAAGAAACCCATTTACGAATTTTTTCCTTTGTAACTTGTGAGCTCATTACCTTTGTCCCTAGTTCATTTATCAAAATTTTGGGGGGCCCCATCCCTGGCCCATTACGACCTCTGTAAACTTAAATACCCTTTTTAAAATTTTCATGATTGTGACCGACTTTCCCGGATTCTTCCCTTTGTAAATTGTGAGTTCATTACCTTTGTAAATTGTGAGTTCATTACCTTTGTAAATTGTGAGTTCATTACCTCTGTAACTTGCTCAGCTATCAAAACTTTGGAGTCCAGTCCCTGGACCAATTATGTACCTCTGTAATCTTTTGACTACCGCCCACAGGATGGGTATGGGGTGCATAATAAACATATTAAACTAACATCAGTGGCTGGAACACTAGACTGCATCAGTGACTGGAACACTAGACTGCATCAGTGACTGGAACACTAGACTGCATCAGTGACTGGAACACTAGACTGCATCAGTGACTGGAACACTAGACTGCATCAGTGAGGGAACACTAGACTGCATCAGTGACTGGAACACTAGGCTGCATCAGTGACTGGAACACTAGGCTGCATCAGTGACTGGAAAACTAGACTGCATCAGTGACTGGAACACTAGACTACATCAGTGACTGGAACACTATACTGCATCAGTGACTGGAACACTAGACTGCATCAGTGACTGGAACACTAGACTGCATCAGTGACTGGAACACTAGGCTGCATCAGTGACTGGAAAACTAGACTGCATCAGTGACTGGAACACTAGACTACATCAGTGACTGGAACACTATACTGCATCAGTGACTGGAACACTAACTGCATCAGGACTGGAACACTGGCTGATCAGTGACTGGAACACTAGGCTGCATCAAGTGACTGGAACACTAACTGCATCAGTGACTGGAACACTAGGCTGCATCAGTGATGGAACACTAGACTGCATCAGTGATGGAACCCAAGACTGCATCAGTGACTGGAACACTAGGCGCATCAGTGACTGGAACACTAGGCGCATCATTGACTGGAACACTAGACAGCATCAGTGAGGGAAAACACTAGACTGCATCAGTGACTGGAACACTAGGCTGCATCAGTGACTGGAACACTAGGCTGCATCAGTGACTGGAACACTAGACTGCATCAGTGACTGGAACACTAGGCTGCATCAGTGACTGGAACACTAGGCTGCATCAGTGACTGGAAAACTAGACTGCATCAGTGACTGGAACACTAGACTGCATCAGTAAACGGGAACACTAGACTGTATCAGTGACGGGAACACTAGGCTGCATCAGTGACTGAACACTAGATTTGCATCAGTGACTGGAACACTAGACTGCATCAGTGACGGGAAAACACTAGACTGTATCATGACTGGAACACTAGACTGTATCAGTGACTGGAACACTAGGCTGCATCAGTGACTGGAACACTAGGCTGCATCAGTGACTGGAACACTAGACTGCATCAGTGACTGGAACACTAGACTGCATCAGTGACTGGAACACTAGACTGTATCAGTGACTGGAACACTAGGCTGCATCAGTGACTGGAACACTAGACTGCATCAGTGACTGGAACAAAGTATCATTAGTTGAAACACTGATTCACTGTTGAATGCAAACTTCATTACATAACCAACAATATTTTTGACATGATTAAAATACAGTTTTACCACTGAATTACGTTGACATATTTTAAGCTAATAAATTATGTATTATTGTTAGCAGTATTATTATTAATTATATTATAATGTAGATTACATAAAAGGAGACATTGATATGATTATTATTATTATTATTATTATTAAATATTAGCCGGTATTCTCCCGGCCCGGGCCTTTTCCAAGTCGTGGCCCGGCCTTGGCTCCCTCTTTAGGGAGTGTCTGAGACCTAAGTCTCCCATGGGAGGAGGCACAAGTACCTCCTCATCTTTGGGACCAACTGTCCCCAGGCCTAGCCACAAGCTAGGCCTCTCTGGTCTGCCATCCCCGCCCCAAGGGGGTAAATGGGAATGACAGTCTTGTGAGCTGTAAGCTCGGGCTCAGGCACCTACCCTACCCTAGAAGGGCTGGGCATGGTGTCGATCGCATTGATATGATTAGTTAGTTAGTTAAAGATTAGCCGGTATTCTCCCGGCCCGGGCCTTGTCCAAGTGGTGGCCCGGCCTTGGCTCCCTCTTTAGGGAGTGTCTGAGACCTAAGTCTCCCATGGGAGGAGGCACAAGTACCTCCTCATCTTTGGGACCAACTGTCCCCAGGCCTAGCCACAAGCTAGGCCTCTCTGGTCTGCCATCCCCGCCCCAAGGGGGCAAATGGGAATGACAGTCTTATGAGCTAAAGGCTCGGGCTCAGGCACCTACCCTACCCTAGAAGGGTTAGGCATGGTGTCGATGCATTGATATGAAAACTTAATGGGATGATACAGCAGTTGAGAATATATATCATAGTTGATTCAGTAAGGTTATGTGCACTTTCCTGTGTTTCTTAAGAGGCACGTCAGTTCCCCTACCTTCTAAATATGTTATTTTTCCCCTATAATCTACCTTGTCTATAATTACTATCGCATTTATTTTGTCTGTTTTGTAAGGTGAAGTCCAGGATCTTTACTTAATTCCTGGTATAACTTAAATGTTTGATGACAGTTGTGTTGTAGATGTCTGAGCAAAGCTCAGCAGAAACAAGTAGGTGCCTGGGTGTCAGTTACCTTACACCTGCTGCCCCTGTTCATATAGCAGTACGTAGGTGCCTGGGTGTCAGTTACCTTACACCTGCTGCCCCTGTTCACATAGCAGTACGTAGGTGCCTGGGTGTCAGTTACCTTACACCTGCTGCCCCTGTTCTCATAGCAGTACGTAGGTGCCTGGGTGTCAGTTACCTTATACCTGCTGCCCCTGTTCACAAAGCAGTACGTAGGTGCCTGGGTGTCAGTTACCTTACACCTGCTGCCCCTGTTCACATAGCAGTACGTAGGTGCCTGGGTGTCAGTTACCTTACTCCTGCTGCCCCTGTTCACATAGCAGTACGTAGGTACCTGGGTGTCAGTTACCTTACACCTGCTGCCCCTGTTCACATAGCAGTACGTAGGTGCCTGGGTGTCAGTTACCTTACACCTGCTGCCCCTGTTCACATAGCAGTACGTAGGTACCTGGGTGTCAGTTACCTTACACCTGCTGCCCCTGTTCACCTAGCAGTACGTAGGTGCCTGGGTGTCAGTTACCTTACACCTGCTGCCCCTGTTCACATAGCACTACGTAGGTACCTGGGTGTCAGTTACCTTACACCTGCTGCCCCTGTTCACATAGCACTACGTAGGTACCTGGGTGTCAGTTACCTTACACCTGCTGCCCCTGTTCATATATCAGTACGTAGGTACCTGGGTGTCAGTTACCTTACACCTGCTGCCCCTATTCACATAGCAGTACGTAGGTGCCTGGGTGTCAGTTACCTTACACCTGCTGCCCCTGTTCATATATCAGTACGTAGGTACCAGGGTGTCAGTTACCTTACACCTGCTGTCCCTACTCACCTATCAGTAAAACAGGAACATGGATGTTAGTTGACTGGTGTGGGTCGCATCCTGGGGACAAAATTAACCTGATTTGCGCGAAATGCTCTGCATAAGGGAACTTGTACATAGTATGTCATAGTAATAGTAGTAATAATATTACTAACAATATAGAATTCACCTGGAAAGGAAATACGTATTAAAGATATCAGTGTCCAGTTAGTTTTAGTTAGTTAGTTTAATATGTTTATTATGCACCCCATACCCATCCTGTGGGCGGTAGTCAAAAGATTACAGAGGTACATAATTGGTCCAGGGACTGGACTCCAAAGTTTTGATAGCTGAGCAAGTTACAGAGGTAATGAACTCACAATTTACAAAGGTAATGAACTCACAATTTACAAAGGTAATGAACTCACAATTTACAAAGGTAATGAACTCACAATTTACAAAGGTAATGAACTCCAGGTAAGTCTGGTCACAATCATGACAAGTTACAAAGGTATTTACAGATTACAGAGGTACGTAATGGGTCCAGGGACTGGGCCCCCAATCAGTGTCCACAAAACTGAAAATGCATTACTTAATTAGTGGCTTTATTGTGCTTACCCGTGTTTTATTGTAAAGCTGTATGGCCCTTGTGGTTTAGCGCTTCTTTTTTTATTATAATAATAATAAATTACATGTAAAGTACATTAACTTACCGCATAAAGAATATTTTATTGTAATTAAAATATGCATGTAGCCCTAACAGCTGTTGCCACTCATTTTTCTGATTATTTTTAAGAAGATATTTGATTACACATGACACTAATAGCTAGAAAACACGTATATAAAGTAAGTTTTGAACTTACCAAAATATAAAATTCAAACTTTAAAATATAAAAAAAAAGTTATCTTTCAAAAATTTGAGGTGTTTGGAAAGTATATTTGGCGCTTTTTTTTCTGTTATCAGAATATATTCTCGGAGATATGTCTTTTAGTGTATATATGCTGAGATTTACCTTAATTCCTATTTTAGGGATTAAAATATTCTTGTATGGTGGTGAAAAGGTTACCATACAACCTTAATAACCCTCGCCTGACTCTAATGGGTTATCCTGGGTAATTTAGATATATGTTGCTATATATGATCTTGTAGTTACCTAAATTTGTGTAACTGTACTTATGTGTGCACGGTCCTAAATAAACTTACTTAAAAGCTTTACACTCCATCACATGAATTACTTGCAGACCCCATTGGAAATAAGTCACTTTGACTTTTTTGGGTTATTCTGGGTAATCTATATATATATTATACTATGTATAGTAATTTATGTAACTATTTATGTATACCTGTACCTGAGTAAACTTAATGTTTAAATAAGAAGATATTACAAGGACCCCAGTGGAAATAAGTCCCTTTGACCTTTTTTGGGGGGTTATCCTAGGTAATCTACACATATACTGCTATGTATATAATAATTTATGCAACTGTATTAATGTATACAGGTACCTGAATATACATAACTGAAGATTGTAGCAAAAAAAAAAAATTTTGGCGCCTTAATAAGAGTGTCAACAAAGTTTGGCGGGAAGGTCGTGGCGGCTCTGGTGTCTCCTCATATTTTACTGTTTTCTCGTGGTAAGCACCACCATTTAACCTCTGTTTTCTTTAGTTTAGTTCCTTACTTAGGTAAGCCGTATATACGGGTAACTACAGCACGTACAAGTAATATATATATGTAGATTTCTTTCTTGAATGAGGTTTTGGGTACAACCTTCCTAGCGTCAACTAGTATAAAAGTTAAGTTTATTTAGGCACAGGTGCAGCGATGTGTGGCCCTTGTGGGTTTACCGCTTAGTTATGATTACAATAATAATAATAGTAATTTGGCAGAGGTACATATGAGTACCATTATCATACGTATGTGTAAATTACCCAGGAGAACCTAAGAAAAAAAGTTGTTTCCATTGATGTCTTTGTTATTTCCATTGATGTCTTTTTTTCCATTAATGTCTTTGTTTCCATTGATGTCCTTGTTTCCATTAATGTCCTTGTTTCCATTGATGTCCTTGTTTCCATTAATGTCCTTGTTTCCATTAATGTCCTTGTTTCCATTAATGTCCTTGTTTCCATTAATGTCCTTGTTTCCATTAATGTCCTTGTTTCCATTAATGTCCTTGTCTCCATTAATGTCCTTGTTTCCATTAATGTCCTTGTTTCCATTAATGTCCTTGTCTCCATTAATGTCCTTGTTTCCATTAATGTCCTTGTTTCCATTAATGTCCTTGTTTCCATTAATGTCCTTGTTTCCACTGATGTCCTTGTTATTTCCACTTAATGTCCATGTTATTTACATTAACATCCATATTTCTATTAATGTCCTTAAAATACCAATGCTTGTGTCTTTATGCAGTACAGATGTAGTTTATATGTAAGAAAATTTGGTAGGCACAAAAGAAAGCCACTAATATGCATAGCATTTCGGGCAAATTGATTCTAGTGCTTAAAAGCGCCCTCAATATGATTGTATTCTTGTATAGCCGTTATACATGTATAAATGTGACATTTATTGATTCATAGGAGATTTATACAATTACTCTGTATTTGTGTTTACCTGAATAAACTTACATACTATGTGTTACTATTAATATAACATTGTGCTGCCCCAAAGAAGGATGCAAGGAATTATGGGTTTGTCAAGAGAGTTTTAGATTAAGTAAGTTTATTTAGGCCTAGGTACACTTAGTACAGTTATGATACACAGTGTAAATCACATAAGATAACCCAAAAATGTCAGACCGACTTATTTTCCTTGAGGAATAATGTCCCAGGTAGTGTTATTGTAACGGCAGCTTCAGTTAGTTTTAAATGTAGGTTGAATGGGTGCATGAGTGTTTGTGGTTGGTTAATAGTTCTACTGCAGTGTTCATTCTTGTATATGTCTGTTATATACCCTAGGGTAAATTCTTCAAAAATTTAAGTGAAATCATTGTTTATGAACAAGGCCTAAATAAAAACTTTGTATGTTACCTGGAAGCCTGGGATGTGTTTTGTTTAGTTAGGTCAACCTTTCCTCAATGGGATATATTGATAAAGGTACAGGACACTTGATTCAAGGAATCAGACTTATCCCACCTTTGGATTGAACTTAATTGTCTCCCAGGTCCTTTATAACCACTACAGGTTTAGTGCATGATTATAATAATGAAGTCAGTATGGATAAGTACGTGCAAGTAATATGTGTAAGATTTTAACACTTATGTCATAGTCATTAAAGATTATAAAAGTGACAGGGTAGGAAGACTATTTGAACTATAAACCCTGAAAGGTTGGTGCCCTAGAATAACTTATTAAAGCTGTCGATGTGGCTTATTACCATTGGATTCCACTTTTTAGATCTTCCCCAGGATGCAATTCTCAACAGTCTACTAACTCCCAGGTATCTATTGCTAGGTAACAGCAGTAGGTGTTAGGAGACTTACCCAGCCAGTAACTCGATAAAGTCAATGTGGCAGTCAGTGCATCCTGTCAGCAAATTGGAAATTGTTTCAAGATCTAAAGATCTTGCTTTACCAGTAAGGAATTCTTGATTAAATTTTATATTCTTTTTTATTCCATAATTTGACATACAAAAGATAGTCGAATATTGATTTTAAAATAAGTGAATTTTGCTGATAAAAGTTATGAAAGGTTTGCATTGACTCACACTCAACACACTTTAATTTAGATTGACACACGTATTGAATTTATTTTCAGTTTTTGTGCATTAACTTCGTTATTTATAAAAGATAATAATTATTTGTGAAATATTTTTACTTTCAAACAGCTGAATCACCATGTCATCGCCTAGCCGTCACCCTGCGTCATCACCTAGCCGTCGCAGCACTCGTTCAACACCCAGCAAGCGCAGTGACACAGGTGAACTTGTTCCCTTACCCGTGTCATCGCCCAGCCGTCGTAGCACACGTTCAACACCTAGTAAGCGGAGTGATACAAGTGATCTTGTTCCCTTACCACCATCATCACCTGGCTCAGAGCTACTACCAGCCACCTCTCCAGCTCCAGTACGCTTCAACCCTGGTAGGTTGTCTGTTCTCATTTAGTTTTAAAAAAATTATTTTGTACAGACCCATTGAAATAATTTGTTGTTCTGATGGCATTCTGGTATACGCATGTTTTCATGTCAAGGGCTAGGTTTTGTTATCAAAAGCTTTATTTTTAATCACATGCATGAAAAATCAAATTTGGGCACCAAATGTTTTTCACAAGAAAAATTGCATTACATTTTATAGGTAGCTCTATTTATTTTCGTATTGTATTTTTACTGCTTTTCTATATTTAAATGCCAAACCACTGTACCTGTTTGTAGAAATGTTAAGGAAATATCTTAATTATTAAAAGTTTAATACTGGGAGCAGCTTTTGAATGTCACATGAGTGTGTGTAAATGAAAATAGGGTGCTGAAAATAGGTTCATTATACAGCAATTATCCTCTGATATTTTCATTACAGCCTCTCCTCACTAGCAACATACGTGTTTACTGACGACTCGGACCTACGACGGGCTGTCTGACCAGTATGCATACATATATATTAGAGCTGATTTTCTCTATTCTGTTTATTACAGTATACAGTGCACTATGGCATAAACATTTAAAAATATACCAGAAATGTTCGAAATGGCGCAAAGGTGACATTAAAATAATATCAAAGATGGTTGACACAAATACACTACCATTATAGTATGCTCCTCACTTAGTGACGAATTTGTTTACTGAGGTGGTCTTAGGAACGGAACTCCATCACTAAGTATTGGACCTGCCTCGCATGGGTGAATAGGCCTGCTGCAGTGTTCCTTCCTTCTTATGTGAGGAGAGGCTGTGTAAGCTTATACATAGTTTGTTCGAGATTTTTTGTACGGTATTTAACCAAATTTTAGTACTATTTTTAAAAGATTAATATAATAATAATTGTTTTTACTTTGGTTAGCGGTCAGTGAAGTGGATTTAAGCTCTCCTCTTAATTATGGAACACCAAGCAGTGTTGGATCATCACTTCGAACTCCTCGCTCTGGAGTCCGTGGAACTCCCATCCGCCATCGATCAGACATCCGTTCTGACCGTCGTATTAGACAGGTATTTTTTTTTTTTAATTTCTTAGGTTTTAATTCCATTCTGACTGTCATATCAGGTATTTTTTGGTATTTTCTTAGTGTTTCAGAAGTTTTATCTTCTGATAAAATTGTGTTTCCTCCTCCTAACTTTCATTCCCTCTTCCTCAATGACATTGTATTTTCTTTGGTTTATTTGGTTTGACCCCCAATAAATTTAAAGCTTTTTCATATACGTACATAGAATCCTGTCTCTCTACATCACTAGTGAGAGTCTTTTAGAGTAATTTTGAAATCTTCATCTCGAACCATTCTCCACTATTTTCTATGGGTGTGATATTCTTTGATTACAAATGGAAAATGTTTTGATCACAAAACAAGAAAAACTGTAACATCCTTGGGATTGTTTCACAATCAAGTCTCAGGGTCTGTCATGGTAGCTGTTGAGTTATCAGAATTATGCTATAATATTTATGATTGGGCATTTTTTTACATCTCTTAATATGCATTGGGTCTATTGTAATTCTATATATTTTAAGAGAAAACTTTGTTAATAAAAATTTATTAGTCTCTGACTTTGTTAGCTACCATGTTACCAAATTATATAGTCTTAAGGCAATGTTTAATAACAAAATAGCCTTAACATAAAATGAGACTTAAATTAGAATTTATATAAAAATTAAAAATGCCCATGAAAAGAAAAAACTTTGAAAGTGAAATTAATCACTGTATTTTGTGCATTTTGTTACCATGTATACAAAGAATAAACTATGACATTATAGTATATTGGTAACAAACACTTTATCATTCATAAACATGTTCATCCTTTCAAGGGATGGTGCCTTGATGCTTGTGAAGGGCTCGTTGCCCAAGGAATTAAAGCTAATCTTCCCTGAATTAACCCCACATACCATTCTCCAGGTGCTTTATTACTCTTGCAGGTTCAGCCCTTGCAGCAGATATTATAGTATACTCTTCATGATCATATTCATATACAGTACATATACAAATAACCTGCACATGGGAGATAAACTTATGATGATGTTTTGGTCCTTTTCACTGACAGAAATATTAAGGAGGCATGGCAGTATACTTACATTTATTTTCATAATTGTGAAGATGATGATTAAACAATTATAAGATCATTTTGAGGAGGTGCAAATGAGATTGTAAACTTGGGTAAACTTGTATATGGCAACCCATAATATCGATAGATGTGTAACTCCATATACATCTCTGATTTATTCTTACAGTCTTTCTATAAGGAATTTTTACATATACAGTATATTTTTTGAAGTACCAGTAATTTATTCACCTATGATTAATATGTATATTTTGTTTCCTCAAGTATGTCATAAGATGTTGGTGAGTATTTGGTTCTGCTTTTGTCTAATCTAAAATAATAGTAGCTTTGTGTATTTTAATGTAATATTGTATTTACTTGTTCTAAACAATATAACAAGCAAGTGTAGAACACCATTTCATTAATTTTATGTGTGTGTCTTGAAATTTATAATGAATGTAATCATGTAATAGTTTTCTTTTAAAGCTGAATGTATAACAAAATATCAACAGGTGAACATCTCCACTGACCCAGCTAGTGAATCTAATGTGGAGGGGCCAGCTGCCACATCAGCACCACCTGGGGGTTCAGCCCAGACAGAGGGACCCCAAGGTCCCCAACTTGTTATCTGGGGTACAGATGTGGTTGTAGCAGAATGCAAGGAACGGTTTAAGACACTCGTACTTCGTTTTGTGGACCCGGCAGCAGAAGAGGATGAAAGAGTTGAGGGCATGAACACTGATGAACCACTCTATCTGCAAAAATTAGAAGAGGTAAAACTTTTGGTTGTGCATAGTTATTTTGTATATGGTAATGTTTTAAAGGTGATCCCTCTCCCCTCACCCTTTTTAACACTGCCTAAAACTTATAACCTATTCCCCCACTGTATGACCCATATAGGTTCAGCATTTTTTTATAATACAGTGATAATAATGATACAGTATAAGCTTTTCACTTTCCTAGTTTACTCAGCCACTAAAATTATTATTATTTTGACACCCTAATAATTTTATTTTCAGATTCACACATTGGAGGAACCTTTCCTGAACATCAACTGTGCCCATCTCCATCAATATGATTCGGACCTGTATCGCCAGCTCATTTGCTACCCACAGGAGGTACGAAACTTGTGTGAGCCATTCCCTTTGAAGTAAATTGCTGTGCTTCATGTAAAACTTTATAAGAAACTTGAGCCTACATTCTTACACAGCAGTACTGATCTTATATCATTACAAGTCACACTGTTTAAAGTTATGTCTTGACATAGTTCTTATCTGTGTATAATTCAGTTAGAAGAGTGTGTAAAGGTAGAAAGTTGAAAGTGAAAAGAGATAAGGGTAAGGTGATGAAGGTATCAAACGATTTAGATAAAGGAAAATTGGATATCACATTGGAGAGAGGGAGTATGGAAGAAGTGAATGTTTTCAGATATTTGGGAGTTGACTTGTCAGTGGATGGGTTTATGAAGGATGAGGTAAACTATAGAACTGATGAAGAAAAAAAGGTGAGTCGCGTGTTGAGGTGTCAGTGGAAACAAAGAATGTTATCCATGGAGGCAAAGAAGGGAATGTACGAGAGTATAGTGGTACCAGCACTTATGTGGGTGTGAAGTATGGGTTGTAAATGCTGCAGTGAGGAGGAGACTGGAGGCAGTGGAGATGTTGTCTAAGGTCAATGTGTGGTGTAAATATTATGCAGAGAATTTGTAGTGTGGAAATTGGGAGGTGGTGTGGAGTTACTAAAAGTATTAGTCAGAGGGCTGAAGAGGAGCTGTTGAGGTGGTTTGGTCATTTAAAGAGAATGGAACAAAGTAGAATGACTTGGAGAGTTTATAAATCTGTTGGGGAAGGAAGGTGCAGTAGGGGTCATCCTCAGAAGGGTGGGAGGGAAGTAGAGGAGGTTTTGTAGGCAAGGGACTCTGATTTCCAGCAAGTGTGCATGAGCGTGTTAGATAGGAGTGAATGGAGACGAATGGTTTATGGGACCTGATGAGCTGTTGGAGTGTGAGCAAGGTAATATTTTGCAAAGGGATTCAGGGAAACCGGTTTGCTGGACTTCATCCCTGGAAATGGGAAGTACACTGCCTGCACTTTAAAGGAGGGGTTTGCAATATTGGCAGTTTGGAGGGATGTCTAAGCTGTCATATCTGAGCTCCTCTGCAAAGACAGTGATTATGTATGAGTGATGGTGAAAGTGTTGAATGATGACGAAAGTTTTTTCTTTTTGGGTCACCCTGCCTTGGGAAACGGCCAGTGTGTTAAAAAAATTAGTTACATATGGTCAGTGAATATTCCCCTTCAAACTCTATTCCCTTCTTCAATCTTTTAATTTTTTTTGTAATAGTTATTTGGGATATTTTTTACATACCAGCCATCTCCCACCAAGTCAGAGTAACCCCACAAAGAAGAAACAAAAGTTTTCCTTCTTTTTACATTTAGTAATTTATAGAGGAGAAGGGGTTACTAGCCCCCTGCTTCCGGCATTTTAATAGTCTCTGACGACACTCGTGGCTTTTGAAGGAAGGCTTCTCCACTTCCCCATGGAGTTGGGATTTTTATATTCATTTGAACTGTAAAGAAAAGAAAACTCCAGATTTTTTGTATGTACCTTTAATCCATGTAATCACTCTAAATTATGGTTTGTTCACAGGTAATTCCCACTTTTGACATGGCTATTAACGAAATGTTCTTTGAGCGATACCCTGATACCATTCTGGAACATCAAATCCAAGTGCGACCTTTTAATGCTGAGAAGACCAAAAACATGCGAGCATTGAATCCAGAAGGTAAGCACTTGTAGTAATAGTGTGATGCTAAACACAGTAATACCACACAACATGTAAGTGGTCTTTGTGCCTGCAATATACAGTATCTCATATATCTTTTACCACAAAGTAGAATATCACAGAGGCCCTCCATGGAATTTTAAAAGTAATTTCGAAAATTTGTAAGGGAAGAAGGCAGTCTTTGGACACGTAAAATTTGTGTGCAATCAAACTGCAATTGTAATTTCACTTTTTCGGTTATACTGCCATATATGACTGTGGATATACAGAAGACATCGAAAGGTAATTTGTATTAATTATTATTACAGGTTATTGATGAAAGACCATGTCAGATATATAGAACATTTTTTATTGTTTAGGAATGGGACTCTTAGTAAGGTTTTACTTAATTTGAAAAGTTTGCATAAACTACACATGAAAATGTGTAAACTCATTAATGCACATTATTTTCCAGACATTGATCAGCTCATCACCATCTCGGGTATGGTAATTCGCACTTCCAACATCATACCTGAAATGCGTGAGGCTTTCTTCCGTTGCCATGTTTGTTCCTTCACAACCACAGTCGAGATTGATCGTGGTCGAATTGCTGAGCCAACTCTCTGCACCCACTGCAACACCAATCACTCGTTCACATTAATTCACAATCGCTCACAGTACTCTGATAAACAGATGATTAAATTACAGGAAAGTCCAGGTATGCAAAAATAAAGCTACTAATTATATATTTTATATGATTTAGAATGCTAAATCGCTGTGCATAAATTCATGTTTTCCATGCGTGTCGTAAGAGACGACTAAAATGCCGGGACCAAGAGGCTAGTTACCCCTTCTCCCGTATACATTACTAAAGTTAAAAAAAAAAAAAAAAAAAAAAAAAAAATTTTTGGCCACCCTGCTCAAGTGGGATATGGCCAGTTTGTTGAAAAGAAAAGCCATGTTTTATTGGTTAGCCAGACTTAGGTTCTGGAGGTGGGAAGTACAATGCCTGTGCTTTAAAGGAGGGGCTTGGGATAGTTGTTGTTAATAGTGACATCTATACTGTCATATCTGTGCACCACTGGCAAGACAGTGCTAGTGTGAATAGTGGTGAAAGTGTTTCTTTTTCAGGTCACCCTGCCTTGGTGGGAAACGGTCGATGTACTAAAAAAAAAAAATCATGTTTCAGAAGTTTGGCTTGTGGAACTAATGTCAAAAAAAAAAAAAAAAAAATGATATATTAAGACATCATCATTTTTCTTCATCAGTCAGCTGGTGCTCAGTGAGCTCTATTATTGTATTAAATATTTATTATTATATTTCATTAAAATACACTTGATTTTTCCCTTATATGATAGTAATTAAAGGATGATTCTTCCAGATGACATGCCTCCTGGTCAAACTCCTCATACTGTGCATGTTTATGCCCACAATGACCTTGTAGATGGAGTTCAGCCTGGTGACCGTGTCACAGTTACTGGCATCTACAGAGCCACTCCCTTGAGGGTGAACCCTCGTATGCGGAATTTGAAGAGTGTTTACAAGACACACATTGATGTTGTTCACTTCCGTAAAGTGGACTCGAAAAGACTTCATGGACAGGAAGAAGGGTAAGAGCTTAAGATGAAATTTGAAGGGGTGTTCATAGTAATTATGGTATTTCATTTGATTAAACTTTTATCTACCTCATGCTGTTTGTTGAAAGCTTATTCATAATATTAAGTAGTTAATTTCAACAGAGAGACGCCACGTTTTCCTCCTGAGCGGATTGAATTGTTAAAAGAGTTGTCTCGTAAGCCTGATGTGTATGAACGTCTTGCCCGTGCAATTGCTCCTTCAATTTATGAAAATGAAGATATCAAGAAAGGTATATTGCTGCAACTGTTTGGTGGTACTAGGAAAGACTTCACTAATGCTGGAAGAGGACACTTCAGGTAGGTAATTGCCTATTCAAGTTTATGGTAGGAAGAAGTGAAAGGAAGGCATGAGCTGTAGCTCTTGGTCCAGCCCATTAACTTTCAACTGACTGATGTGAAATAACCCTTTCACTTCTGGTTTGAACCTCTGTATGGGAGCTACATTCACTGCCATCGTTTGATGTATTCTACTTCTTTCTTACTTTTAAATATTTTCTGATATCCCAGAAACTCATTGGGTGTATAATTTCTTTCTATAATCTTGTGTTTTTCATTTCTGGTGAAGAGGCTATTTTTGTCTACAATGGTAGAGTAAACCATTAGTAGTCTGCTGTATGATTTTTTATGCAAACAAAGATAGTGCAGTACTGTTATAGTTCTCAGAGTATTAAAATTTTAAGTAGAATATGTAAATATATATAAGATATTAGCAGTTTGGAGGGATATGTTGTGTATCTTTATACATATATGCTTCTAAACTGTTGTGTTCTGAGCACCTCTGCAAAAAGTGATTATGTGTGAGTGAGGTGAAAGTGTTGAATGATGATGAAAGTATTTTCTTTTTGGGGATTTTCTTTCTATTTTTGGGTCGCCCTGCCTCGGTGGGAGACGGCCGACTTGTTGAAAAAAAAAAAATATAAGAATGACTTGAGAAGGAGTCTTATTGTTAAGTAGTTTTGATTTACTGTATGATAAAATAATGAAGGGGTTATTGAGGTAAGCTTATTATTGTATATTCATGAGACCCTTCATTGCCAAGTAAATGGAGACAGTCAAGTTTGATCTGAGGAAAAGGAAGGTAGCTCCAGTTCTGTTTATCAGGAGTTCTTCACTGCCATCAAGGCACCCAATTTGGAAGGTGCAATTTTTTTTTTTTTTTTGCAACGAACCAGCCGTATCCCACCGAGGCAGGGTGACCTGAAACGAAAAAAGTTTTTCTTAGGTCAGAAAAAAAGAATTTTTTTTTTAATTTATTAACATAAGCAGTAGAAGGGGTTACTAACCCTTTGTTCCTGGCATTTTAGTCTCCTCTTATGACACACATGGCTTACAGAGGAAGAATTTTTTCCATTTCTCCATGGAGGTGTAAACTTAAAAATATTTAATTGGTTTGTGGACATAAGAAACAAATAGTTTTGGGGATTATCACTACAGATGTTCCTTGCTTCATATGATAGGCTTTTTTTTTTTTTAACAAGTCGGCTGTCTCCCGCCAAGGCAGGGTGACCCAAAAAGAAAGAAAATCCCCAAAAAGAAAATACTTTCATCATCATTCAACACTCACCTCACTCACACATAATCACTGTTTTTGCAGAGGTGTTCAGAATACAACAGTTTAGAAGCATATACATATAAAGATACACAACATATTCCTCCAAACTGCCAATATCCCAAACCTCTAAAATGTCAGGTGGTGATTACATAAAAGCAAATTTCACCACATTTAGTGAATTCCTGGTAGAAGTGGGTTGACTGCATGTAAATGAAATGCATCAATTGAGGTGAAATTTGTATTAAGAGTTTATTCATGGGAGAGCATTAAGCTTGTAAATATCATTTAGTGCCTGAGAATGATGAGTGACCAGATATGATCCAAGGTAAGAAATGACAGCCCAAGTTTCCTGGAGCAAGATCTCTTAAGCATCAAGGCACCCTCACTTAAGAATTTAAGAGTTTTAGGAAGATAATGTGGACTACTGTACAGTATATGATCTTGTTATATACATTTTGTATCTAGATTTTTTTGATACTGAAGTTGGAAACTTTAAGTATCAAAATACAGTATACATTATTTGTAGTGTTACAGTTAATGCTGGTGTATATGTATATATATATATTTTTTTACACTGGCTGTCTCTCACTGAGGTAGGGTGTATACATTTAGAGAAAGAGTATTTGGGAAACCTTAAATTTTCAGATATATAATGACAGTGCAGTTTATACTAAGAGCTGTTCACCCTGTAAAACTTTCAGGTCTGAGATAAATATTCTCTTGTGTGGTGACCCTGGAACATCAAAGTCTCAGCTGTTGCAGTACGTGTACAATCTTGTTCCACGGTCACAGTACACGAGTGGCAAGGGTTCTTCAGCTGTTGGTCTGACTGCCTATGTTACTAAAGACCCCGAAACTCGACAGCTGGTATTGCAGACTGGCGCTCTTGTTTTAGCTGATAATGGTATTTGCTGCATTGATGAATTTGACAAGATGAACGATTCCACAAGGTAAGCTTTTTCACCCAAAATACTGAACTGCCTTTTAAAAAGTGATTTTTATTGGTTTTTATTTTAGCTTCTGTAACAGTGTTTCTGCACGTACAGTAAATTAAATAAAATAATTATTTACTTGCAGGTCAGTGCTGCATGAAGTGATGGAACAGCAAACGCTTAGTATTGCAAAAGCAGGAATAATTTGTCAGCTTAATGCCAGGACCTCTGTCCTGGCTGCTGCCAACCCTGTTGAGTCACAGTGGAACAAAAACAAGACAATCATTGAGAATATTGAACTTCCCCACACTTTACTCTCACGTTTTGACCTCATCTTCCTTATCCTGGATCCACAAGACGAGTTGTATGATCGTCGACTAGCACGTCATCTAGTTTCTTTATATTATCATTCAGAAGCTATGAGTGAAGAAGAAATGTTGGACATGAGTATTCTTAGAGACTATTTAGCATATGCTCGTGAATATGTCCACCCAAAGCTTTCTGAAGATGCTTCTCAACGTCTCATCTCTGCTTATGTTGATATGCGTAAGGTGGGCAGCGGCCGAGGGCAGGTGACTGCCTATCCTCGTCAGCTTGAGTCTCTGATCCGTCTGGCTGAGGCACATGCTAAAGTTCGTCTGTCTCACATGGTGGAAGTTGCTGATGTGGAAGAGGCATGGAGGTGTGTAATTGTTTTTAATGTGAATAATAATTATATTTTGCTGAATTGCAATATTAATTTTTATACAATACCAACTCTCTGTCATTATTAATATTATAATAAAAAAGAAGTGCTAAACCTCCATCTCTCTATAGTAAATTGCATTTGCCAAAATGCAGTAGTTTAATGATGCAATTACAATTTTGTTTACTTTTGCAGACTGCATCGTGAAGCCCTCAAGCAATCTGCTACTGATCCAATGTCTGGCAAGATTGATATCAGCATCCTGACAACAGGTCTGAGTTCTGCTGCCCGGAAGAGACGTGTTGAAGTGGCCCAGTCTCTCAAGAAGCTGATTCAAGCAAAGGGCAAGGTGGTTACTCTCAACTTCCAGAAGGTGTTCCAGGAACTGAAGGACTCCTCTGACTTGGTAAGTTGAAATAAATTATTTTTTTGTTGAAAATGATTTAAGTTAGGTCTTGTTCATTGATGATTGTCAGCTTACCAAGGCCATCACTAATCAGAGGGCATCAGTGTAAACCTTCATGTAAATTAGAATTCCTGCGTTAGATCAGAGTGAGTGGTGATAAGTACTTTTTCTTTGGAATGTGTTGTGAGTGTGAGAAAGTCAGCATTTTTGAAGGGATTCAGGGAAACCAGTTGGCTAGACTTGGGTTCTAGAGGGACAACGCATATTTGTTATATACTTTGAAAGATGGATAGGGAAGTTGTAATTTAGAGGGTCACTTGAGTTGTATCCACACACTTTGCAAGGTAGTTTTGAATTGATGGTGAAAATATTACTTTGGGTCCTCTTTCTTTGTGAGAAATAGCCAGTGTGGTAAAAAAAAAAAAAAGGCTGTTTAAGCTCAGTGGCCCAGTTGGAAACACAAAGTTTTAATAAAAAATTTACAATTAAAACATCTGTTTAGAGTGGATGAAGAGTGAAAAGTTGAAGTGTAAGAAAGTCTCCCACCAAGGTAGGGTGACCTGTAAAAAGAATGAACACTTTCACCACCACTCACTCCATCAGTCTTGCCAGATGTGGGCCACTACTACAGTTCCAATGCCTCTCCAAACTGCAATATCCTCCACCCTTTAATTTTTATTGGATATCATACTTGATAGTGAAATATTTTATATAATTTTTTTTTTTCTTCTTTTGGGTCACCCTGCCTCTCTGGGAGATGGCCAGCATGTTGAAAAAAAGTGTAATTGGAGATGTGTGCAAGAGAATAATGTCCGGTGAGAATGTTATACAGAGAATTCAGAATATTAAAATTAGGTGATGTGGAGTTACCTAAGGAATGATTCACACTGAAGAGGGTATGGTGAGGTGGTTTTTGCATTTAGAGATGATGAAGCAGTATAGGATGACCAAGAGAATATATAAATTTGGGGAGATAGAAGAGCCATCCTAGGAAAAGTTGGAAGGAAGGATATAGGAGGTTTTGAATGCTAGGGGCTTCAACATACAGCATGCTTGTGTGAAGATGCCTGCCCTGAGGATGTTGCAGTTTAGGGGGTTATTTTTATTGTGATGTGTGCACTTCTGGCAAGGCAGTTATTAAATGAATGAAATGAATGTACTAACTTTTTCAGGATTACCCTACCTTAGTGGGTGAAGACTAGTATGTTAAAAAATAATGAAATCTGGATAATAATAATAATTTGGATAATAATTTGTACAAAAATTCTTAAGTAGATTGCAAATAATGTAGTAATGTCAACAGTGAACAAGGATCATTGATCAGATGTCAATTGGGTGATCAGCTTACCCTTGTCTAAATATATTCTCTGGCTTGTAGCTGACAGATGCCTGCATTAAATTTGGCATGATTTTTCCCATAGCATTGGCATTTCAGTATGTCACACTATTGAGGAAATTTTTTTGCTGCTCATCAAATACAGTACTTTAAGATTTTGCAAGCAAAGGCTGTAAATATTTGTTTTGAAAGTCTTTGAATGTTGGCACAAAAGAGTTAAAAATAAGCAATATATTTACCCCTATTACAGTACAAGAAGTAATTTTGTCCATTTTGTGTGTGGTAGATAAGTCTATTTTCCTGTATTAATTAGCCTTTCAAAACTTTTTCTTTCAGATGATCACACGTGAAATGTTTGAAGATGCACTTCGTGACCTCCAGGACGATGAATTCCTTGCTCTCACTGGCAAATCTACTATTCGTATAATTCACTAGAGACCGGAAAACTGAAAAATTATCAGTTGTACAGGCTTCATCAATTTACTCTGTGAATTACAAAATCTAATTTTTATATCTATATATATATATATATAATAGCTTAACTTTTAAACATTGTGCCATTATGACCTATCTTGGGGTAGAGCACATTTTGAATATAATAATGATTCAGAACGTAGTCATATATTGAGCTCCAAATGCGTGTGCATAAGGAACATGCCTAACTGAAGTAACATTGAATAAAAATAGTGGTACATGTTTATGTAGATTATATTAATAAAATAAGCAAATTGTCTTTTTATGTAATGTCCTGCAATTTGCTTGGTAGGAATTTTGTATAAAATTTGATTTTTGTTGTCTAGACTGAGGTAGGCCTTTTAGGGTATACCTTGCTACTGGTGAAGTCATGATCTGAGGAGCTAGTGCATTTTGAAGTATTAGAAAAAGACTACAACCTACTTAAGCACTTGCCTGCAAGAATCACACACTCCTAGCACTAAGAACAAAATTCTTAGGCTGCTGCTTTCCTGAATGCTGGAAATAATGTTAAGGTTTGCTGACCTATGTTAAAAATGGGCTAGTTTGTTAATATGTCAAAGGCCTCAACAACAATGATATAGCAGCATCAGATCTGTATGGAATAGGTGGTAAATTGCTAAATGCTGTAAAGAGTTTTTATGAGGATAATGAGGTTCAGGTTAGGGTGTGTAGAAGCGAGGGAGACTACTTCCCGGTAAAAGTAGGTCTTAGACAGGGAAGTTTAATGTCACCATGGTTGTTTAATATATTTATAGATGGGGTTGTAAAAGAAGTAAATGCTAGGGTGTTCGGGAGAGGGGTGGGATTAAATTATGGGGAATTAAATACAAAATGGGAAGTGACACAGTTATGTTTTGCTAATGATACTGTGCTTATGGGAGATTCTAAAGAAAAATTGCAAAGGTTAGTGGACGAATTTGGGAGTGTGTATAAAGGTAGAAAGTTGAAAGTGAACATAGAAAAGAGTAAGGTGATGAGGGTATCAAATGATTTAGATAAAGAAAAATTGGATATCAAATTGGGGAGGAGTATGGAAGAATGAATATTTTCAGATACTTGGGAGTTGAGGTGTCAGCAGATGGATTTATGAAGGATGAGGTTAATCATAGAATTGATGAAGGATAAAAGGTGAGTGGTTCATTGAGGTATATGTGGAGGCAAAAAATGCTATCTATGTAGACAAAGAAGGGAATGTATGAAAGTATAGTAGTACCAACACTTATATGGGTGTGAAGCTTGGGTTGTAAATGCAGCAGCGAGGAGACGGTTGTAGGCAGTGGAGATGTCCTGTTTAAGGGCAATGTGTGGTGTAAATATTGTGCAGAAAATTCGGTGTGTGGAAATTAGGAGAAAATGTGGAGTTAATAAAAGTATTAGAGGGCTGAAGAGGGTTTGTTGAGGTGGTTTGGTCATTTAGAGAGAATGGGTCAAAGTAGAATGATATGGAAAGCGTATAAATCTGTAGGGGAAGGAAGGTGGGGTAGGGGTCGTCCTCGAAAAGGTTGGAGGGAGGGGGTAAAGGAGGTGTTGTGGGCGACGGGTTTGGACTTTCAGCAAGTGTGCGTGAGCCTGTTAGATAGGAGTGAATGGAGACGAATGGTATTTGGGACTCGACAATCTGTTGGAGTGTAAGCAGGGTAATATTTAGTGAAGGGATTCAGGGAAACCAGTTATTTTATATAACCAGACTTGAGTCCTGGAAATGGGAAGTAAAGTGCCTGCACTCTAAAGGAGGGGTTTGGGATATTGGCAGTTTGGAGGGATATATTGTGTATTTTTATACGTATATACTTCTAAGCTGTTGTATTCTGGGCACCTCTGCAAAAACAGTGATTATGTGTGAGTGAGGTGAGTGTTGAATGATGATGAAAGTATTTTCTTTTTGGGGATTTTCTTTCTTTTTGGGTCACCTGCCATGGTGGGAGACGGCCGACTTGTTGGGGAAAAAAAAAAATGTACAAGGTATACAGGCATAGCTGACATCAATGACATACTACTATATAGAAAGCCGCTTGTTATGCTGAGCATTTCGGGCAAATTAGGCAAGTTTAGTCCCAGGATGCAACCCACACCAGTTCACTAACTCCTAGGTACCCATTTTAAACTGATGAGTGGACAGGGACAACAGGTGTCTTATGGAAACACATCCCTCATGTTTTCCAGCCGTACCGGAGAAGATTCGAATTCTGGACCTCAGTGTGTGAGGTGAGTGTGCTAGTGATCGAGCTACGGGACACGTGTCCCATAGCTCGATTTACAACAACGTAGTGCCGATTTATAACTTTGCTACCATAGGAATGGACTCTGACACTGCTGTTTGTGGATCTATTGTACATGAAATGGTCAATAACCACTTACTCTTCAACAAACATGATGTTAAGCCACTGTCCATATGGAAATTTCTTCAATATCTCGGAAAGCCTGTTCATGCACTTCAAACAAGATCTATACCTGATATGAATCATACATTGTACTAGTGTGAATGCATTATATGAAGATCTTGTTGCCAAGATGATGATTTATTGCATCTGAATAAAATAACATAACCACACACAGTAAGGAGCAGCAGCAAGAGTGGACCACTGACTCGTCTTTGATTTTGGAAGAAAATGTACATAATCTGGCAGAGAAACAAATGAAATAAATGCTTGTATCAATTACTAAATGCTGTAAAGAGCTTTTATGAGGATAGTGAGGCTCAGGTTAGGGTGTGTAGAAGAGAGGGAGAATACTTCCCGGTAAAAGTAGGTCTTAGACAGGGATGTGTAATGTCACCATGGTTGTTTAATATATTTATAGATGGGGTTGTAAAAGAAGTAAATGCTAGGGTGTTCGGGAGAGGGGTGGGATTAAATTATGGGGAATCAAATTCAAAATGGGAATTGACACAGTTACTTTTTGCTGATGATACTGTGCTTATGGGAGATTCTAAAGAAAATTGCAAAGGTTAGTGGATGAGTTTGAGAAATGTGTGTAAAGGTAGAAAGTTGAAAGTGAACATAGAAAAGAGTAAGGTGATGAGGGTATCAAATGATTTAGATAAAGAAAAATTGGATATCAAATTGGGGAGGAGGAGTATGGAAGAAGTGAATGTTTTCAGATACTTGGGAGTTGACGTGTCGGCGGATGGATTTATGAAGGATGAGGTTAATCATAGAATTGATGAGGGAAAAAAGGTGAGTGGTGCGTTGAGATATATGTGGAGTCAAAAAACGTTATCTATGGAGGCAAAGAAGGGAATGTATGAAAGTATAGTAGTACCAACACTCTTATATGGATGTGAAGCTTGGGTGGTAAATGCAGCAGCGAGGAGACGGTTGGAGGCAGTGGAGATGTCCTGTCTAAGGGCAATGTGTGGTGTAAATATTATGCAGAAAATTCGGAGTGTGGAAATTAGGAGAAGGTGTGGAGTTAGTAAAAGCATTAGTCAGAGGGCAGAAGAGGGGTTGTTGAGGTGGTTTGGTCATTTAGAGAGAAATGGATCAAAGTAGAATGACATGGAAAGCATATAAATCTATAGGGGAAGGAAAAGAGGGGTAGGGGTCGTCCTCGAAAGGGTTGGAAAGAGGGGGTAAAGGAGGTTTTGTGGGGGGAGGGGCTTGGACTTCCAGCAAGCGTGCATGAGCGTGTTAGATAGGAGTGAATGGAGACGAATGATACTTGGGACCTGACGATCTGTTGGAAATGTGAGCAGGGTAATATTTAGTGAAGGGATTCAGGGAAACCGGTTATTTTCATATAGTCGGACTTGAGTCCTGGAAATGGGAAGTACAATTCCTGCACTTTAAAGGAGGGGTTTGGGATATTGGCAGTTTGGAGGGATATGTTGTGTATCTTTATACGTATATGCTTCTAAACTGTTGTATTCTGAGCACCTCTGCAAAAGCAGTGATAATGTGTGAGTGTGGTGAAAGTGTTGAATGATGATGAAAGTATTTTCTTTTTGGGGATTTTCTTTCTTTTTTTGGGTCACCCTGCCTCGGTGGGAGACGACCGACTTGTTGAAAAAAAAAAAAAAATAAATTTCTCAAAGTGGGTTAAGTGATTTTTTATTATAATAATTTCTCGAAGCTGATGGCGAGTGCTGGTAGTTTAAAGCAAATACAGAATATAGCCAGTACTGGATTCGTGTTCTAGTTCCCTGAATTGAGTGAATACCTTCCATAACCCCCCCCCCACATGCGTTTTATAATCCCTACAGTTTTAGCTCTCCCCTATGATTATAATGATAATGTAGCCAGTATTGGGAACAGTTCTTCCAAGACATCCATGCAAATATTGCCTAACTGTGACTTTCAATCAAAGGGGTTTTAAAACCAAACACTTGCTTGAATGCAATCTTCCACATTCTAAGAGAGCCAGGAGGAGGCGACAGGCTCACTCTGCGCTATTCTGAGAAAAAACTTACCCTCACTCCTTCAGTTGCAACATTGCATAGCTCCTGATGATGCACCGAGACGTGCAAAAATACTTGAGCTAAAGATTTCCACCCCCCCATGACTTGTTTTGCATATATATACAGTGGACCCCCGGTTAACGATATTTTTTCACTCCAGAAGTATGTTCAGGTGCCAGTACGGACCGAATTTGTTCCCATAAGGAATATTGTGAAGTAGATTAGTCCATTTCAGACCCCCAAACATACACGTACAAACGCACTTACATAAATACACTTACATAATTGGTCGCATTTGGAGGTGATCGTTATGCGGGGGTCCATGCATTTTATATATATATATATGTATATAATATATTATTTATATTTTTATATTATATATATATATATATATGTATATTATATATATATTATATATATTTTTCAACAAGTCGGCCGTCTCCCACCGAGGCAGGGTGACCCAAAAAAGAAAGAAAATCCCCAAAAAGAAAATACTTTCATCATCATTCAACACTTTCACCACACTCACTCATTATCACTGTTTTTGCAGAGGTGCTCAGAATACAACAGTTTAGAAGCATACACACATAAAGATACACAACATATCCCTCCAAACTGCCAATATCCCAAACCCCTCCTTTAAATAATACTTATTTTGACCAATAGATTTCCTCTAAATACCTTACCGTTATTTCACAAAAAAATAAAGTTTGTTAGTTCTGGAATATTGCAAAAAAATCTGCCCTTTACTCCCACATAACTCCCAAAGTATTTGGAATATTTTCAAAAACTCAACGGTCAAAATAAGAGAAATCATTATTCTACAAAATGTCTGAGAATATTATTCCATTTAATTAAGTAATAAAGGAATTATTTGTTGCCCTAGGTTAAAGTGCAGGCATTGTACTTCCCATTTCCAGGACTCAAGTCTGACTATATGAAAATAACCGGTTTCCCTGAATCCCTTCACTAAATATTACCCTGCTCACATTCCAACAGATCGTCAGGTCCCAAGTACCATTCGTCTCCATTCACTCCTATCTAACACGCTCACGCACGCTTGGTGGAGGTCCAAGCCCCTCGCCCACAAAACCTCCTTTACCCCCTCTCTCCAACCCTTTCGAGGACGACCCCTACCTCGCCTTCCTTCCCCTATAGATTTATATGCTTTCCATGTCATTCTACTTTGATCTACTCTCTCTAAATGACCAAACCACCTCACTAATACTTTTATTAACTCCACACCTTTTCCTAATTTCCACACTCCGAATTTTCTGCATAATATTTACACCACACATTGCCCTTAAACAGGACATCTCCACTGCCCCCAACCCTTCTCCGCTGCTGCATTTACCCCCCAAGCTTCACACCCATATAAGAGTGTTGGTTACTATACTTTCATACATTCCCTTCTTGGGCCCCCATAGATAACGTTTTTTGGGCTCCACATATACCTCAACGCACCACTCACCTTTTTTCCCTCATCAATTCTATGATTAACCTCATCCTTTGTAAATCCATCCGCCGACACGTCAACTCCCAGTATCTGAAAACATTCACTTCTTCCATGCTCCTCCTCCCCAATTTGATATCCAATTTTTCTTTATCTAAATCATTTGATACCTCATCACTTTACTCTTTTCTATGTTTTCACTTTCAACTTTCTACCTTTACACACACTCCCAAACTCATCCAACTACCTTTGCAATTTTTCTTTTAGAATCTCCCATAGCACAGTATCATCAGCAAAAGTAACTGTGTCAATTTCCTATTTTGAATTTGATTCCCCAAAATTTAATCCCACACCCTCTCCCGAACACCCAAGCATTTACTTCCTTTACAACCCCATCTATAAATATATTAAACAACCATGGTGACATTACACATTCCCTGTCTAAGACCTACTTTTACCGGGAAGTAGTCTCCCTCTCTTCTACACACCCTAACCTGAGCCTCACTATTCCTCATAAAAACTCTTTACAGCATTTAATAACTTACCACCTATTCCATATACTTGTAACATCTGCCACATTGCTCCTCTATCCACTCTATCATATGCCTTTTCTAAATCCATAAATGCAATAAAAACTTCCCTACCTTTATCTAAATACTGTTCACATATATGCTTCAATGTAAACACTTGATCTACACATCCCCTACCCACTCTGAAACCTCCTTGCTCATCCGCAATCTACTTCTGTCTTACCTCTAATTCTTTCAATTATAACCCTACCGTACACTTTTCCTGGTATACTCAGTAAACTTATTCCTCTATAATTTTTAGTCTCTTGTCCCCTTTCCCTTTATATAAAGGGACTATACATGCCCTCCACCAATCCCTAGGTACCTTCCCCTCTTTCATACATTTATTAAACAAAAGTACCAACCACTCCAACACTATATCCCCCCTGCTTTTAACATTTCTGTCATGATCCCATCAGTTCCAGCTGCTTTACCCCCTTTCATTCTACGTAATGCCTCACGTACCTCGCCCACACTTACATTCTGCTCTTCTTCACTCCTAAAAGACGGTATACCTCCCTGACCAGTGCATGAAATTACTGCCTCTTTCTTCCTTAACATTTAAAAGTTCCTCAAAATATTCTCGCCATCTACCTAATACCTCCATCTCCCCATCTACTAACTCCCTACTCTGTTTTTTAACTGACAATCCATACTTTCCCTAGGCTTTCTTAACTAGTTTAACACTCCAAAAATTTTTCTTATTTTCATTAAATTTCTTGACAGTGCCTCTCCCATCTATCATCTGCTCTCCTTTTGCACTCTCTCACCACTCTCTTTACCTTTCTTTTACTCTCCATATACTCTGCTCTTCTTATAACACTTCTGCTTTGTAAAAACCTCTCATAAGCTACCTTTTTCTCTTTTATCACACCCTTTACTTCATCATTCCACCAGTCACTCCTCTTTCCTCCTGCCCCCACCCTCCTATAACCACAAACTTCTGCCCCACATTCTAATACTGCATTTTTAAAACTATTCCAACCCTCTTCAACCCCCCCCCCACTACTCATCTTTGTACTAGCCCACCTTTCTGCCAATAGTCGCTTATATCTAGCCCGAACTTCCTCCTCCCTTAGTTTATACACTTTCACCTCCCTCTTACTTGTTGTTGCCACCTTCCTCTTTTCCCATCTACCTCTTACTCTAACTGTAGCTACAACAATAATAATGATCCGATATATCAGTTGCCCCTCTATAAACATGTACATCCTGGAGCCTACCCATCAACCTTTTATCCACCAATACATAATCTAATAAACTACTTTCATTACGTGCTACATCATACCTTGTATATTTATTTATCCTCTTTTTCATAAAATATGTTTACTTATTCCCCTCAAGGAAGGTTCCTTGATGTTGGTGAGGGGCTCTTGATTTAGGGAATTGGATCTGTGCTCCTGTTCCCCGAATTAAGCCTGAATGCCTTCCACATCCCCCCCCCCCAGGCGCTGTATAATCCTCCGGGTTTAGCGGTTCCCCCTTGATTATAATAATAATAATGTATTACTTATTACCAAATCTCTTTCTACACATAGCTCAATTAAAGGCTCCCCATTTACATTTACCCCTGGCACCCCAAATTTACCTACTACTCCCCCCATAACATTTTTACCCACTTAGCATTGAAATCCCAACCACCATTACTCTCACACTTGATTCAAAACTCCCCACGCATTCACTCAACATTTCCAAAATCTCTCTCTCTCCTCTACACTTCTCTCTTTTCCAGGTGCATACACGCTTATATAATTTATATATATATATATTATAATATTATATATATATATATTTATATATATATTATATATATATTATATATATATATATATATAATATATATATATTAAATGTCGTGCCGAATAGGCAGAACTTGCGATCTTGGCTTAAATAGCAACGTTCATCTTGCCATATAGGACAAGTGAAAATTTGTGTATGCAATAATTTCTCCAAAATCATTCTGAACCTAACGAAAAAAAATATATTTCACTGTGTTTGTTTAGTATTAAATTATTGTAAACAAATCTAAAATATATTTAGTTAGGCTAAAATAAGTTGTTCTTGTTATAATAAGGTTAGGTAAGTAATCTAAGATTCTTTTGGTGCAAAATTAAAAATTATTACATTATCATTAATGAAAAAAATATATCTTTAAACGTATAAGAGAAAATTTTAGAAAGGACTTAATTTTAAATGAGTTCTTGCTAATTGACCAGTTTTACATATTCGGCACGACATATATATATATATATATATATATTAATATATATATATATATATATATATATATATATTATATATATAATAATATATATATATATATATCACTACGCGGAGTATATTAATGAAAAATATAAATATAGTAGGTGAGTTAGGGCGGGAAAAGTTCAGTATTATGATGGGTGAGGGAGGAGCAGGTCACATCACGTCCACTTGTCTTATATCATCACTATGGGCCGGCCAACATCCACTGTTCAGAAAAGGTCAGAACTGCTTCATATTGTTATTACATGTGTGAGTAGGGCTGCCTGCGTTATTTACATGAAAATTATTTAATTTTCTTATACGGGCGTAATGTGTCGACGACATTTATCCTCTGCGTTTTCTTCATTATCTGCTGCTTCCTCACCTGAAGCTGGTCAAGGGCTCTTAATCAAAGGAATTGGAGCTACGCCTCAGATCAAACCTGACTACCTCGTATTCCACAGAAACCATAAGCCATACGGGTTTAGTGCTTCTCCGGATGCTGCTACCTCGGCCATCTTCATTAGCAACTATTTTCTTTTCGTGTGTTGATGCTTTAGCCAGATTATTATATTCACGAAGAAGCACTAAACCCATAGAGTTCCTACACAGCTTTGGGAATAGAAGGTAATGAAGTTCGACCCGAGGAAGAGAAGGTTTACTCCTGTTCCCTGGAACATGAACTATTTACCAGCATTAAGACAGGTTAGGTATGGTAAGGTTTGTCAGGAAACAAGACAAGTGTTTCCTGACGCGGGTCTTTGATCATATGGCTCGCAGCTGGAGCTTTAGGTCATTTGACCCCTCAAGGAGGGTTCCTTGATGTTGGTGAGGGGCTCTTGATTTAGGGAATTGGATCTGTGCTCCAGTTCCCCGAATTAAGCCTGAATGCCTTCCACATCCCCCCCCAGGCGCTGTATAATCCTCCGGGTTTAGCGCTTCCCCCTTGATTATAATAATAATAATTTAGGTCATTTGACCGAGGCCTTCCGCTGGCTTACCCCTCTACCCGTTTAAAAATTATGGTTATAATTATAAACATTAGGAATTGCATTTAGCATCAAGACACTCCCCTGTATTCAAATTCAAAGTTTATTCTCTATAAGGATTACAATGCTGAGTTTACAGAAATTTGGTTATTGTTTGGTTTACATGTAGTAAAATTGTGATTACAGAGTGTACCACTAGAACGCTTAGCATGGCTAGGCATTTCGGGCATACTTAGTTTTATTCTTAATTGTAAAATATTACAAATTATGAGGTAAGTTGGTCTTATGGCTAAGTGACTAAATACTAGTTTATGAGTTTAGCAATGTGAATGCTTTTGTTTTGGCACAGTATATAGTTTCAGTATTGGAGTATCACAGGATTCATTATTTTAAGACTGAGATTAATATTTCTGTTTATGGTCAAATGAGTGAGCGAGTGTAAGTGTGAACCACCAGGTGGTATTCGTGTAGTTAGTTGACGGGGTGTATCAGGGAGATAAGATGTTTTCTAATGGTAGTTTTGAAGGTGATGAATGTGTCTGCAGTTCTAGAGTTCTCAGGTAGGGTATTCCAGATTTTAGGGCCTTTGACATATATTGAATTTTTGTAAAGGTTTAGTCGGACACGGGGAATGTCGTAGAGATGTTTGTGTCTGGTGTTATGCCTGTGGGTTCTGTCACAACTATCAAGAAAGCGTTTTAGGTCAAGGTTGATATTAGAGTTTAAGGCCTGTAGATATAGATTGCCACAGAAAGTAAGTGTGGATGTACTGAACTGGAGTAAGTTTAGATCTTTGAAGAGTGGGGGGGGGGTGTGCTGCCAGGATGGGATTTAGTGATTATTCTTACTGCAGCTTTTTGTTGGGTTATTATTGGCTTTAGGTGTGTTGCTGCAGTGATCCCCAGCACAAATAGCATAGGTGAGGTATGGATAAATAAGTGAGTGGTATAGTGTGAGAAGGGCATTTTGCGGCACGTAGTATCGTATCTTGGAGAGGATCCCAACTGTTTTGGATACTTTTTTGGCTATATGCTGGATTTGGGTGCTGAATTCAGGTTGTTGTCAAGGTATAAGCCTAGGAATTTTCCCCATTATTTCTGGTAATTAGAGTGTTGTCAATCTTAATTTTTAATTTGTGCATCTCCTGCTCTGCACCAAACATAATATTGTAAGTTTTGTCAGTTTTAAAAGCGTAAGTTTATTGGCGTCATCCAAGTGATATTTTAATCAGCTCCTCATTCACAATGGTGTTGAGGGTGGCAAGATTAGGGTGAGAGATGACATAAGTCGTGTCATCAGCAAAGAGAATGGGTTTCAGGTGTTGGGATACGGTTGGAAGGTCATTGATGTATATGAGGAAGAGCAGGGGACCAAGGACACTTCCCTGCGGGACTTTAGTATCAAGTGGCCGTGTTGCTGATGCTGTGTCTTTTAAAGGTGACGTACTGATACCTATTAGTAATGTAAGATTTGAAATAAGCAAGCGCCATGGCCTCTTATACCGTAGTGGTCAAGTTTTTTGGAGTAGGATTTGGTGGTTTACTGTGTCAAAAGCTTTTCTTAGGTCAAAAAAATTCCTAGTGGATATTCCTTATTTTCAATGCTGTGTAAAGCAGATCTAGCATTTTTATGATTGCACCATTAGTGCTTTTATTTTTCCTGAATCCAAATGGCAGGGGTTGAGTAAGTTTTGAGCCGTTATAAATGAATACAGGTCTCTTGTACACGAGTTCTCAAAGATTTTGGATAGCAATGGTAAGTTAGATATTGGCCTATAGTTGTTTAATCTGTAGGGTCACCACCTTTATGTATTGGTGTAACCCTTGCCATCTTGATAGTTTCGGGAAGGTGCTTTGTCTCTATTGACTTGTTAAAAGTAATGAAATAGCATGCGAAAGGACATGGGCCGCTCGCTTGTACAGTAATGGTGGGACATGAGACAGATTCCCCGAGTTTTTTTAAGTATTTATGATCCCCAAAGACTTCCGTGGGCTCAGTTGGTGCAAGATAGAAGGAATTAGGGAAATTACCATCTAGGTAGTCCCCGGCATGGGCATTGGTATGTGGGATTTTACTGGCGAGATTAGATCCTATGTTTGAGAAGAAGTCGTTTATCTTGTTAGCTGTGTCAGTGGGATGTAGTGGTTTCATTAGGTTTAGTTAGGACAATATTCTTGGTTTTTCTCAGTTTGTGGGTCCCTAGAATCTGAGAGTGTTTTCCAGGTCTTTTTTATATCTCCTCTAGTGTCTGTGAATCTACTGGAGTAGTATAGTTGTTTGGCTTTATGGGTCTTATAGTCGTCAACTAAAGCATCAAAATAAATGTGTTTTGGCTAATATCTCCCAAAATGAAAAATAAATAGTGGTGTACATGATAGGTTGCATGAATTGTAAAATGTGAACTACCTGGAGGGTGTTCCTAGGTCTACAGTTTCGTCTGCCTTCAAAGGGTCCATTAGTGTACAGCAGTACCCCAGCCTAGAGAGAACAGGCGATTTAAGGAGAATCATCATTGGCTTGGCATCCGTAGTTTTGAAGGTTCTCATTATCCATCCTATCATTTTCTTTGCAGATGTGGTAGAGATAGTGTTGTGATATCTGAAAGTGAGATTCTCTGACATTATCACTCCCAGGTCCTTCACGTTACCTTTTCGCTCTGTTGTGTTGTTGGAATTTGTTTTATGCTCCGATCCAGCTTTTATTTCCTCGAATTTCCCATAGCGGAGTAACTGAAATATGTCCTCATTGAACTTCATGTTGAGGCCCCATTTACAGACATGGTTAATGTCTGCTTGGAGATTTGCAGTGTCATCAGTAGATGACACTGTCGTGCAAACTTTGGTACCGCCAGCAAACAAAGACAAGGTGCTGTGGCTTACATTTTTGTCTATGTCAGTAATGAGGATGAGAAAAAAGAAGGGAGCAAGTACGCTACCTTGTGAAACAGAGCTTTTCACTGTAGCCTCCTCTAGCTTTACTCTGTTTACTATTACTCTTTGTGTTCTGTTTGTTTGGAAGTTATAGATCAATCTATCCTCTTTTCTTTTTATTACGTTATTACGCATTTTTTTGTGCTACTGGTTGAAGGAAGTTTTTGCGGTCTGAACAGATACCACAGGTGAAGTAGAAATAGATGAGAGAGTAATATTACCTGGAGTTTACCTGGAGAGAGTTCCGGGGGTCAACGCCCCCGCGGCCCGGTCTGTGACCAGGTCTCCTGGTGGATCAGAGCCTGATCAACCAGGCTGTTGCTGCTGGCTGTGCGCAAACCAATGTACGAGCCACAGCCCGGCTGGTCAGGAACCGACTTTAGGTGCTTGTCCAGTGCCAGATTGAAGACTGCCAGGGGTCTGTTGGTAATCCCCCTTATGTATGCTGGGAGGCAGTTGAACAGTCTCGGGCCCCTGACACTTATTGTATGGTCTCTTAACGTGCTAGTGACACCCCTGCTTTTCATTGGGGGGATGTTGCATCGTCTGCCAAGTCTTTTGCTTTCGGAGTGAGTGATTTTCGTGTGCAAGTTCGGTACTAGTCCCTCTAGGATTTTCCAGGTGTATATAATCATGTATCTCTCCCGCCTGCGTTCCAGGGAATACAGGTTTAGGAACTTCAAGCGCTCCCAGTAATTGAGGTGTTTTATCTCCGTTATGTGCGCCGTGAAGGTTCTCTGTACATTTTCTAGGTCAGCAATTTCACCTGCCTTGAAAGGTGCTGTTAGTGTGCAGCAATATTCCAGCCTAGATAGAACAAGTGACCTGAAGAGTGTCATCATGGGCTTGGCCTCCCTAGTTTTGAAGGTTCTCATTATCCATCCTGTCATTTTTCTAGCAGATGCGATTGATACAATGTTAAGGTTCTTGAAGGTGAGATCCTCCGACATGATCACTCCCAGGTCTTTGACGTTGGTGTTTCGCTCTATTTTGTGGCCAGAATTTTTTTGTACTCTGATGAAGATTTAATTTCCTCGTGTTTACCATATCTGAGTAATTGAAATTTCTCATAGTTGAACTTCATATTGTTTTCTGCAGCCCACTGAAAGATTTGGTTGATGTCCGCCTGGAGCCTTGCAGTGTCTGCAATGGAAGACACTGTCATGCAGATTCGGGTGTCATCTGCAAAGGAAGACACGGTGCTGTGGCTGACATCCTTGTCTATGTCGGATATGAGGATGAGGAACAAGATGGGAGCGAGTACTGTGCCTTGTGGAACAGAGCTTTTCACCGTAGCTGCCTCGGACTTTACTCTGTTGACGACTACTCTCTGTGTTCTGTTAGTGAGGAAATTATAGATCCATCGACCGACTTTTCCTGTTATTCCTTTAGCACGCATTTTGTGCGCTATTACGCCATGGTCACACTTGTCGAAGGCTTTTGCAAAGTCTGTATATATTACATCTGCATTCTTTTTGTCTTCTAGTGCATTTAGGACCTTGTCGTAGTGATTCAATAGTTGAGACAGACAGGAGCGACCTGTTCTAAATCCATGTTGCCCTGGGTTGTGTAACTGATGGGTTTCTAGATGGGTGGTGATCTTGCTTCTTAGGACCCTTTCAAAGATTTTTATGATATGGGATGTTAGTGCTATCGGTCTGTAGTTCTTTGCTGTTGCTTTACTGCCCCCTATGTGGAGTGGGGCTATGTCGTTTTTAGTAACTGTGGGACGACCCCCGTGTCCATGCTCCCTCTCCATAGGATGGAAAAGGCTCGTGCTAGGGGCTTCTTGCAGTTCTTGATGAACACGGAGTTCCATGAGTCTGGCCCTGGGGCAGAGTGCATGGGCATGTCATTTATCGCCTGTTCGAAGTCGTTTGGCGTCAGGATAACATCGGATAGGCTTGTGTTAACCAAATTTTGTGGCTCTCTCATAAAAAATTAATTTTGATCTTCGACTCTCAGTCTGGTTAGCGGCTTGCTAAAAACTGAGTCATATTGGGACTTGAGTAGCTCACTTATTTCCTTGCTGTCATCTGTGTAGGACCCATCTTGTTTAAGTAGGGGCCCAATACTGGACGTTGTTCTCGACTTTGATTTGGCATAGGAGAAGAAATACTTTGGGTTTCTTTCGATTTCATTTATGGCTTTTAGTTCTTCCCGCGATTCCTGACTCCTATAAGATTCCTTTAGCTTGAGTTCGATGCTTGCTATTTCTCTGACCAGTGTCTCCCTACGCATTTCAGATATATTGACCTCTTTTAGCCGCTCTGTTATTCCTTTCCATCGCCTGTAAAGGGAGCGCCTGTCTCTTTCTATTTTACATCTAGAGCGAGTGTGGATGTTTGACGAACATAGTAACGCGTTTTTAAGAGCATTCCCATTGTTTTGCCCTTTTTTTATGCTCTGGAAGTGTGTTGAATTTTAGTGTGGTGTCCAGATGTGTACCTAAAAATTGACCCTCCTGCCTACCAGTCTGTGTATTATTCATTTCTGTGTCCACATGAATATTTTAAGCTTTGTTCCATAACATTGCGTAGAATGTTTTTGTCAACATTGAGTGCTGGTTTTAGCTGTCATCCAAGTAGATATCTTACCAGATTCAACATTTACTGTGTTGTTGAGTATAGACGGATCTTCATTTGAGATGATTAAATTTGTCACATACGTGTAGAGTAGGTTTATTATTATTATTATTGTGGAAAATTGCATTTATCTGAATGTAACTAATTATGTACATAACAGTAAATGATAACAAAGATAATTATTATTTATCAATGTTACATAGACAAGTAGGAATTTGGGACAACTAGGTCGCAAAAAATGTCCCCCTTCGATACCTACCACTGTCATATCCACAAGTTGCTCTGGACCTATTAATTAAATGAATTATACATCAGGAATTCTGGTAAATATATAAATTTGTGGACTGTATATTAAAAAATGATTATAAACACAATTACATAACAGAAGGAAAATATATCTTAATATCACTCACCAATTTGACTGGATATTAAGTTGTATCATACTCAGAAAAACCTCACTAACTAAATTTATGAAAACACTGGCCATAATTATACACAAATCTAGAGAGCTTATCTGAGGTTCCTGGAGCTGTCTTGTCCAGTCGTCTGATATCTCAAGTTATGCAGGAATGCACATCCAACAATTTCGCCTCCTATTTGAGAGGTGTCAATCCAATTTTAACCTCTAGAGCACGAAAAATTCTTCCCATTACACCAACGTTTGTACAAAATTCAAAACCAAGATGGCGAGTCTCGTCTGCGCAGACGCAGGCTTTCCGTTTTCTATGACATAAATATTATTAAATACAGTATGGCCATCGATTTACATATAAATACTGAATTTCTGGAAAATATATACAGCATTTTCCACAACTATTATTATTATTATTATTATTATTATTATTATTATTATTATTATTATTGTTGTTGTTATTATATTTTGGTGCTAAACCCAAAGGGGAGATGTTAATAGGTTCCATCCATGGAATGGAATGGAAGTCCAATTACTAGGATGAGGAACCGCTCACCACATTCAGGAACTTTCCTTGAGGGGATGGGATGACTTTATTACAGTGTTAGAAACTCGTAAATTAATTTAAGGGTTATAATAACATCAGTAATAACAGTTCTTTCTCTCTAGAAGCTTGCTGATGTCACATAGAGAGGAATTTTTGTTGCTACGACGTCGGCAGCCACTTGTACTAGGTAAACACTCGATACCCAGGTAAGTGCATTTGTGTCCTATTTATATTTATGATGTTGCTTGGGAATAGGTGAAACACACACACACACAGTTGGTTGGACTCGACCCCTGCAACCTCAACTAGGCGAGTACACACACACACACACACGATGAGTACACACACACACATACGGTGAGTACACACACACACACACGGTGAGTACACACACACACGAAGAGGCGGGGCCAGGAACTGTGAGTTGACCCCTGCAACCACATAGAGATAATTACACACACGTGAGAGAGATAATTACACACACGTGAGAGAAAGAGACAGATGGGAGTGAACATAATCCCCATTATAACGCCAGATTCACATCATCCGAGTAACCTCTGCAGCCATTGCACGTCTGGAAAATCTAGGAATACCCTTTAGGAATCTCCACAAAGAAACATTCCCAGCACTTTGTGCAACTTTATATTGGGCCCCATTTTTGGGGTATGGGGCAAAAAATATAGAACCCTCCCTAAAAAGGCTTGTTGAGAAATGGAGAAAGTGCGAAGTAGGGAAAACAAGGCTTTTTTTCCCGAGCTAAGGGGGCATAAGTTACGAGGAGAAACAAAAAGGGGGAAATTTTAAAAAAAAAAAAATTGACATTAAGAGGAAGAACTAAGGTAGAGGGGGGGAAAAACCCAAGCATGGGCACCTTAAAATTTAAAGCAAAAAAAAGCCCACAAGGATGTTGGGAAAGGGGATTACTCCAATCTCGAGTGATGGGGACGTGGAATAATCTTGGTGGGGAATGGTGAGGCAACTTCAACATAGTTTTAAATAACGGGAAAAGATAGAGGCCACAAAGGCTAAGGGGTTTGTAAAATCTGAAGGGGTGGAAAAAAGGCAGGGCCAAGGGCAAAGGAATTTGACTCCTGCAACCCCCCCCCCCCCAAAATACAGAGTATATATATATTATTTAAAATATATATTATATATTTATATATATATTTAAAATTATATATATATTATAAATATATATTTTTTTTTTTTTTTTATTTTTTATCACCCCGGGCCGATTCCACCAAGGCGGGGTTGGCCCGAAAAAAAAAAACTTTCACCATCATTCACCCCAACACTGTCTTGCCAGAAGGGTGTTTTTCCTACATTTTTTTAAACTGCAACTTTTAACCCTCCTTCAGAGTCACCATTTGTATTTCCCCACCCCCAGGACTCAAGTCCGGCTGCCAGTTTCCCTAAACCCCTTTCCCCTTAATTTTATTTTGCTCCCCATCCACAGCAGCCCAAAGAAATTAAAAACCATTTGTTTTCCTTTTCATTTCCTATAAAACCCACGCCACGCATCCCTTCGGGAAAAGTCCAAGCCCCTCGCACAAAAAAACCCCCTTTCCCCCCTCCCCCCAACCCCTTTCCTGCCCGACCCCTTCCCCCCCTTTCCCTTCCCAATTACAGACAAATACACTTTTTGAATTTATTCTTTTTCGCTCCATTCTCTCTATTTTCCCGAACCCCCTCAAAAACCCCTTTCCCTCACCCCTTTGGGAACAACAGTTTTGGTAATCCCCACCTCCCCCAAAACTTCCAAATACAAATTTCCTGCTTAAAATTCACCCAAACACATTCCCCCTAAGACATGACATCCCCCACTCCTCCACCCTTTTCCCCTCGCTCAACATTCTTCACCCACCTTCCCCCTTTTTAAAAAGAGCTTTGGGTTTTAAAACTATACTCCCACTTTTCCCCTTTGCCCCCAAGGGGAAAAAGTTTTTTGTCTCCACGGGCCCCCAATTGAAACCACTCACTTTTTTTTCCCCATAAATTTTATGATTCCCCTCATCTTTATAACCCATCCCGTCACGTCCACTCCCAAATTTTCTGAATACTTTCCCCCCTCCCCCAATACTTTTCCCCCTCCAATCTGATATTAAAATTTTCATCACCAAACCCTTTTTTTTATCCCCCCATAACCTTACTTTTTCCCTTATTCCCTTTAATTTTCTTCTTTTGCACCCCCTTTAAAAAAATTTCCCTTCCCCCAAAATTCTGCAACTTCTCTTCAGAAATCTCCCAAAGCAAAAGTGTCATCACAAAGAAGCTGTGAAAAACTCCCATTTTGTGTGTGATTTTTACTTTTAACTCACCCCTCTTCCCAAGACCCTCCCCTTTACTTTTTTAAAAACCCCCAACTAAAAATTTAAAATTAAACAACCACGGGGCCCTCACAACCCTTTGTCAAGGGCCCCTACTTTTCGGGGAAAAAAATTTCCCTCTTTCCTCCCACTTAATTTTGAGCCCCCTTACCCCGAAAAAACTCTTCACGGGCTTTCATTAACCAAACCCTCCTACCCCATACACTTGCAAATCTGCCACATTCCCCCCCCTATCCACCTTGTCATACCCCTTTTTTCCCAAATCCAAAAAGCCAAAAAAAGACCTTTTTACCCTTTAAATCTAAAAAATGTTCCCCCTTATATGTTTCCGGGAAAAACCCCCTGGTCCCCCCCCACCCCCCCCTCCCTTTTTCCAAAAGCCTCCTTTTTCCCATCTGCTACCCTATTCTCCTCTTCTTTAAATTCTTTCAATTTTAACTCACCAAAACATTTTTCCAGGTACACTAAACAGACTTACCCCCCCTAAAATTTTTGCACTCTTTTTTTATCCCCTTTGCCTTTATAAAAAGGAACTAGGCTTTCCCCCTTTTGCCAATCCCTAGGAACCTTTTCCCCCTTCTTCCAAACTTTTAATTAAATAATTGAACCAAACACCCCAAAAAACTATATCCCCACCGGTTTTTAAAAACCTTTCTATCTTTATCCCCATCAACCCCCGGCTGCCTTCCCCCCTTTTTCATTTTACTACTGCCTCACGAACTTCCCCCACCCTTTTTCACAACGGGCTCTTCCTCACCCTACAAAGGGTTTATTCCCCTTGCCCTATACACAAATCACAGTTCCCTTTTCTTCATCAAAAAATTTAAAAAATTCCCCCAAAAAAATTTCCCCCTTTCCCTCTTCCCAATACCTCAATTCCCCCATTTAATAAAAATCTCCTCTCCTATTTTTAATTACAAATTCCCCTTTTTATATATATTAATATTATAATATATATATATAAAAAATTTTTATATATAAATATATATAAAATATATATAAATATATATATGTATATATATATATATAAATATATATAAATTTTTATATATATATATATATATATAATATTTTTTAAACCATAACCCCTGGCGATTGGAAAACCCCGGTCAGAGAGTCTCAAAACTCCTGATCGTGGGTTTTAAACCCGCCCTTGGTTTTGGTTTGTTTGCAATCGTGTCATTACGATTTCGGTGAGTAATTTTAAATATATAATATATTTATTTTAAAAATATATAATATATATATATATATATATATAAAATATATAATAATATAATATATAATTTTTTTTATATAAAATAAAATAATAGTATATCATATATATATACAATATTATTTTGTTTTATATTTTATATGTATTTATATATATATATAAATATATTAAAATTTTTTTATATTAAAATATTAAATTTATATATATATCTATATATATATATATATATATATATATATATATATATATATATATATATATATATATATTTTGTGTGTCTAGTTGGGCCGCGGGCCTGCTGCAGTGTTCCCTTTCTTTGAGTCAGGGGTCAGGTGTTGCTTTGTTGTGGGATGTGATAGTGAGGTGTGGGCTAGCCCCTTTTGTATACCTTCCTTAGATGCATTACTTTCATTGTTCCTTGATAATGTGAGTAGTCACAAAAGCGCTTGGAATTTCTCTATTTTTTCACATTGTTTTGCATATTCTGAAATCACCTGTTTACTGTGATCTTATTGCATAAAATTATATATATATATATATATATATAAAATATATATATAATATTATATTATATATATATATATATATATATAAATTTTTTGTTTGTGTGTGTGAGTGTGTGTGTACTCACCTATTTTGGTTGCAGGGGTCGAGTCTTAGCTCCTGGCCCCGCCTCTTCACCGATTGCTACTGGGCCCTCTCTCTCCCCGCTCCATGAGCTTTATCAAACCTCGTCTTAAAAACTGTGTATGGTTCCTCCCTCCACTACGTAAATTTTCTAGGCTATTCCACTCCCTTACAACTCTATGACTGAAGAAATACTTCCTAATATCTCTCTGACTCATTTGTGTCTTCAACTTCCAATTGTGGCCTCTTGTTTCTGTGCCCCCTCCGGGAAAAACACCCTGTCTTTGTCCACCTTGTCTATTCCACGCAGTATTTTATATGTCGTTATCATGTCTCCCCTGACCCTCCTGTCCTCCAGTGTCGTCGGGCCCGATTTCCCTTAATCTTTCTTCATAGGACATTCCCTTAGCTCTGGAAATAACCTTGTCGCAAACCTTTGTACTTTCTCTAGTTTCTTGACGTGCTTTATCAAGTGCGGGTTCCAAACAGGTGCTGCATACTCCAGTATGGGCCTGACATACACGTGTACAGTGTCTTGAACGATTCCTTACTAAGGTATCGGAATGCTGTTCTCAGGTTTGCCAGGCGCCCATATGCTGCAGCAGTTATCTATTGATTTTGTGCTTCCGGAGACATGCTCGGTGTTTTACTCACCCCAGATCTTTCTCCTTTAGTGGGTTTGCAGTCTTTGGCCACCTAGCCTATACTCTGTCTGTGGTCTTCTGTGCCCTTCCCCTATCTTCATGACTTTGCATTTGGCAGGATTAAATTCGAGAAGCCATTTGCTGGACCAGGTGTCCAGTCTGTCCAGGTCTCCTTGAAGTCCTGCCTGGTCCTCATCAGATTTAATTCTCCTCATTAACTTCACATCATCTGCAAACAGGGACACTTCTGAGTCTAACCCTTCCATCATGTCGTTCACATATACCAAAAATAGCACTGGTCCTAGGACCTACCCCCTGTGGGACCCTGCTCGTCACAGGTGCCCACTGTGATACATCATTGTGGCCTGGTGGCCTGGTGGCTAAAGCTCCCG